TCTTTTCTTTCGTCTGTATTCTTAAAGTATACAAAATATACAACTGAAGAGAACGGGGAGAGAGAAAAAGACAACGACAATATATTCCAGGAGGAGATCATCCACTGGCTGGTGCTCAATGGATGGCCCTATCAATCCGCAGCTTCACATGTGTAAAGTCACAGGTTGACTTTTTGTCAACTGTTTGCTAACTCTGGGAGGCTCTGCTTCTGCCTTCCTTCAACTGCCTACCTCCGTGAGGATAACTAAATCTGCTTTCAAATTCTTCCAATGCTTGCCGTGACCGGGTCCTCCGTTAGAGACCTTCTCTTTGTGGTCACAAACGGGATGCACTACCAACAGCCTATGGTCAACTGCTTTCTGACGAATTTGTCTCAATAGCTTTGAGCTGAATTTATCTTTGGTCTAACATTCTTGGATTTCTAGTATAAATGGCCTGCCTTCATTATTACAAACAAGGGAAAAATGGCTGTATACACTGAATAAAATCAGGAAAACATAACACTACAAATTGAGGCATAAGACTTTTTTTTCTTGAGTCAAAATGAAAGATTCCTTTGGCTAATCCCTTCCTAAGATGATTGACGCTATAGTGGCGGGGAAGAAAGTTCTTACTGCCAGAGGGAAACACTAAGTCTAAGACACAGGCAACAGGAAATAATTCAAGCAGCACTTTGCATTATTATAGTCAACATTCTGTATTTTGTGATATTTTTCATAAGACATACAGAAAATAAAATGCAGTGTGAAATATCTAATATGGGAGCTGGAATGAGTCCCTCTAGGGTTATGGGGCAGAATTTAGACAATAAACATGTGCTGCTCTAGGAAAGTAAAATGACTATCAGGAAATTGTTTAAAAAAGGTTCTTATTTAATCCATCTTATTATTGCTAAAGAGCAAATACAGCTCATATACAAGAAACACAGCTCATATGGTTTTATCCACTTTTTTTTTTTTTTTTGGTTTTACGAGACAGGGTTTCTCTGTATTGTTTTGGAGGCTGTCGGTCCAGCCTAGCCTAGAACTCACAGAGATCCGCCTGCCTCTGCCTCCCAAGTGCTGGGATTAAAGGCGTGCGCCAACACCTCCCGGCTGTTTTATCCACTTTTAATGATTAATGTAATTAAGAGAAAGAGTAATCCTGAGGACTAGGAATTTCAAATAAGTATGGTGCAAGCATGACGCTAATAAAATAAGATGCCTACAGCAGATATCATCTTTGAGCACTTACTATGAGCCAGCTACTGTTTCATGGGATGCTACCTGTGACAAATCACTAGTTGCACAATCACGCTAGCCCTTTATCAGCACCAGCTCATGGATGAAACTGAGTCACAGAGGTAGTGTGTAACACATACTGGACCTCTTATAAATAAGAGACAGTGAGCAAAAACAGAGGCCAATCACTTCCTGGATGAAGTCAGAAACAGAGAAGATGAAAATAGGTTTCTTCGCCAACCAATCTTTGTTTATCTCAACAGGGACTATTGCTGTTAAGAGATAACCAGTTACAACTATTAGGTTCAAGTAGTGAGACTAGACAGTAGTAAGTACTAAGTAGTAATACTAGACAGAAGACCTGCAGACATTCATAAGGAAATCAAAGGAAACAGAAAATTGTAACAGAATTGTTGCAATGTAACAGAAAATTGCTTGCGGGCCGGTAGCTCTCATCTAGCCTGCAGGGGGACTAGAAGGTTATTCACCGTGTGTTTCAGTCTTTGCCTTGTACCAGGCAAAGAGCAAGATTCTGCAGAAAGCATCTCTTTATCTGACGGGAAGACCCTGCAGACACTGTCAGGACTGAGTCGCTTGCAGACTTCAACACGTCCGTCTATGCTGTGCATTTGGGTTTCCCAATGGCCAAGCTCCAGAAGCTAAGGCAGGACTGCATGGCTGAGGGTAGGGCTCCTGGAAAGTTCCTGACACGCAAGACTGGCTGCTCACATTGTGCATGCATTCTCACCTATTACACACCGCTAGATTTCCAATGTGTGCTCAATAGGTAACAGGATGACAAGGCTTGAGTCAGGGAAGCAAGATAGGTGGGACTAGGAGTCAAGGAGGATTCTGGGAAATGTAGTCAAGAGTGGAGAGTCGCCATGCGATCCCAGGAGGAGAGGGTGCAAGTCTAGCAAGTCCTCCGTAAGATAAGACCTTATAAAAATATATATTAGTAACTATGGGTTAATAATTAAGTCATAGCTAGCCATTATGAAACCATAGCAAACAGCCAACAACTTCATAATTAATATAGTGTCCTGTGTGTTAATTTGGGACTGATGCGGCTCAGGGACCAGGCTGGCGGGAAGAACACAGGTTACAAGGTCCCAGTGACATGCTCCTTTATAAGAGCTGCCGTGGTCGTCGGTGTCTCCTCACAGCAGTAGAAGTGACTAAGACAACCACCTATTAGAAGAGAGAGGAGGAACCCGCCATCCCACAAAGGCACGTAAGCCCCATGCAGACACTGCTGCATGCAGATCTTGTTTGTTCTGCAGGGTTCCTGCCCATATGGCTGCATAGCTGCGCGGTTCTCTTTCTTCTGAGAGGGGTTGGAGATTTAGCTCCACGGTACAGCACTTGCCTGTGCAGTTATACAAAGACCCAGGCTCCACCCATCTCCAGAGGAGTTCATAGTCCTCCTCCATTAGCCAGCCCATGAAGTACAAAGACATAAAAGGGCTCATCTGGGCCGGGCAATGGTGGAGCACCCCTTTAATCCCTCCATTCGGGAGGCAGAGACAGGCAGATCTCTGTAATTCCGAGGCCAGCCTGATCTACAGAGGAATTTCCCGGACGGCCAGGAGGGTTACATCGAGAGACCCTCTTTCATAACACAGCTATTGGTTAGGAAAAGTGCTGGAACTTTTAATTTTCGAAGGATGCGGGGAGCTACAGATGCCATGAAGCTGACTCACTCTCTGAAGACGGACACTGAGGACCTTGAAGGTTAGAACAATTGAGATCAAGAACAAAACAGAGCAAAATTAGAACGTCGGCACAGAATGAGCAGGAAAACACAGAGTTTATTGGTTCCTACGCTTTTAGTTAGCACAGTTCCGCAGCGAACCGGAGAAACGGAGGCGTGTTGGGAGGAAGCCACCAGAGAGGTGCCTTTCAGGTCACAGGCCTGTAAGTACACCTTTGACTACACTGCTACCCTGCTGCACTCCTTAGTTGTCATGGAGATCAGGAAGTGACCCTTAGAGAGAGAGACGAGTTCACCAGTGTGCCAGTGACCAGAACCACTTTCCATAAAAGCTGAATTCAGCAGGGACAGTTGGAAAAGTGGGCCACGATTGAGAAGAGTTCAGCACTGCGATCAAAGAGCAAGCAGATGTCAAGAACTAATGCGGCAAGTTTACTTAGGTTTTATTTACTTTAAAAGGAAGACAAGTTTGCTTTAGTGGAATGGTTTATCAGTTCCTGGTAATGTTTTAAATCCCTCTTAAGAATGTGAAGCAAGAGGGACTGTGTTTGCTCACCCTCCAGGAGCAGCTGAAACCTCAATGAGGTTTTAAATGGCCCGAAATAGGTTGCCTATTTAAGAAAAATCAACAGTATTCTTTTTAAAAGCATTTTACTGGAGCTCTCATCATTGTGTGTACTAAGCAACTCTGGCCCATCTTGCCTGACATCCAAGGAGGCCCGTAAGAACTTCTGCGTAACATCCTTACAGTTCACAGCTCAGTTTAAAAAGGCGGTTTTCACAGACTTCATAATCTCTTCCCCTCTTCCTCCTAGCACCAGGCAGAAATTCGGATGCGCTGAGTTGCACAGGAGGCCTGTGTAGAAAGGGCAAGACCAGGGCACTTCAAAAGAACCAGAATCCTGGCTCACATAGAGTCTTCTTGTTTGTCTTAGAGCAGGGCACGGGGGTAGCGGGTAAGCCAGCTAATACACTTAAGGTTGCAAAGGTACTCACTCATCCCAGGATGGATGGCAGTGGGATCTAAAGAGCTATGGTATTTAAAATGCTTGTGGCTGTGTGGGCGTACCAAGTGCTCTGCTAGTTATTATTATCAGAACAGTGCAACTGGAAAAAAACACAGAAACTGGAAAAGGCAGATGCAATCTAACTTCATGCCCTTCACTCACAAATTTCACTGGTATAGATTTACAGGGTCTGTGTGTCTATATCAAGGTAGGTGCATGTCATTTTTTATCACTGTCCCTTTGATATGACCAGTGACTAGAAAGAAAAGTGACTTCCAGGGCATAAAATCAGAAACATCAACCAAAAGTTACACTAAAGAGCTTAGCAGGGTGAGGCAGAGTCAGCTGCATCTGTGAATCTGAGGCCAGCCTGATCTACACAGAGAGTACCAGGTCAGCCAGGGCTACATAGTGAGACACGGTCTCAACGTAGTGAGATCCTGCCTCAAAACACCATAAAGAGGGGGAAAAAACCTATAGCAAAACAAAATAGCAAGTTTACTATTTCTGCACTGGACACATACTGCTGGGGTAAAGTACTTACTCAGCTTGTATGAGGCTCTGCGTGTAACCCAAAGTACTGCCCACACACACGCAGACTCCCTATGCTGACCACCATTTACAATTTACTCATTGTTTGATACAGACCTGATTGAATTAACACTTAGGACAATGACGACGGAGGAAAACGCCAGGGCTTTAGAGAGACCAAGTTAAGCAATACATCTGAGGATAATGTATAAGAGTCACGCTGAAATGAATGCAAATCCTTGTGGGAACTGTAATATAGGATGGAGCTGCATGGTCACCCTCAGAGGTTAAGGGCCTCCTTCTGAGTGATGACAAGACCTTAGCGCTTTTGGCCTCCTCCCAAAGTCAATAATGGAATACAAAAGAGGAAGAGTATTTCCGAACCTGCATACGGAAATACCCCTCTAGCCACACATGTGCAGAGACGTGCCTGCAGCAAGATTACATACTGCACCACACCCCAAGCTCACTCCCAGCTAGAGGAGGGGCCTACGTAAGGAGTTCTCCAAGGCTGGCTCTGGACAAACCTGCTGGAAAGGTCGAGCCTGGGCCTGTCTGAGAAGCCGCTGCTGCTGCTGCTGCTGCTGTTGCAGAAGTTTCATCTGGAGCAGTTGCTGCTGAGATGTGATTGAATGAAGGGACGGCGGCTGCAGCATGGCACCTGAGCGCCTCTGCAGCATGTTGGACAACGCTTGCTTCGTATTGGTTGGGACAAACGAGCCGGCGGGGTCCAATCTGGAGCCACCTGTAACAGCAACCAAAAGGAAGGTTGTCAAAAGCAATGGGGGCTCTTTGACCATAACAAGAAATTTCACCCTTTTTAACCTTACGAGCGAGACGGACCAAGACATTCGGCCCTACCGGCTCCAAGCATTAACAATCTGTCAAGAGCTGCCTAATTCCCGAAAGATAAAAAACAATGCTATGCATCAACAACAATACTCTGAAATTGATTCGTGGAAGTTGCACTTCCGTGGATAAAACACAATGCCCGAAACACAGATGGGTCACATAAGACTTTGGTCAAATGGCTTGTAAGCTGTGTACATCCTTCAGAATGCACATATTATCTGAATAAAAGTGTATCTTGTGCTGGGTTTTGCAAAGTTTTATAAGCCAGGCACAGAATCCCTCTGTATTCTAAACAGATCTGAAGGCTGTATTATTTAACCTTTTTCCTTGGCAAAATCAAAAGGCCTACTTTGGAGATGGGACAAAATGGGAAGGAGACTCTAACTGGAGAAGGAGGAGAGACAAATAACCTACAAAGGTTGTTTGAGAAAACGTCAAGGACTCATGTACTATTTTATATTTACCTGAATTTATATGTAATGCATTATTTCATGCGTACACACACAGACACCTTAAATTATGTCACTGAGGCTGACGATGGCCCCCACAAGAGCCACAGACTCTAACCAATACCTCAATACCAGGCATGGAAAAATCTCCATTCAGCTTGTTGGTTAGGGTAGCTCTAGTGCCTTCAAAACAATATAAGCCATTGTTACTGCCCTTGGGTGCCTCTCAAGGGCTGAAGATGTAGAGCGTAGAATTCTGGTGACTCAAACTGAATTGGACCTGAAAGCTTCCTCCTTCCCGGGTTCTCACATCCATAGCACTAGAAAGGGTTACGAACCATGACAGTGACCAGCTTGGCGACATCACCCAGCAGGCGCAAGAGCGGCGCTCGTATCTTGGTAGTTACCAGCAGTTACTGGATTTAAGGAGAGACATCACTTCTGGTACTAGACACCTTGCCAACTATCATGGGCCAGTGAGGTCACAGATGTTAGAAGAGAACCTGTTACCATGACTCCAGTAGACCAGCATAATTCCGTACTACATTCCAAATCTTTTCCTTATACTCACAGAGGAGGGTAGCTGTCACCTCAGCCCTCATCAGAGAGGCTTCTCCTTACAGCAAACAGTGATTTTTCACAAAGAAACAGCACAGGATGGATGCAATGCAGGAGATTAGCGGATTGTGGGAGCCCAGCCCCAACAGAGAGATCTACAACGAGGCCCCTGTACCTAGGGCTCAGAGAGCATCACAGAAGCTCGGAAGGGGAAGACTGTACGAGCCAGGGGGTCAGGAGCTCAGAAGGGGAAGACTGTACGAGCCAGGGGGTCAGGAGCTCGGAAGGGGAAGACTGTACGAGCCAGGGGGTCAGGAGCTCGGAAGGGGAAGACTGTACGAGCCAGGGGGTCAGGAGCTCGGAAGGGGAAGACTGTACGAGCCAGGAAATCTGACCTGAGACACAATCTCCTAGAAATGGGTGCCTATACAAGACCCGAACGATGATAGCATAAACATGTTAACATACATAAGAGGGTGGAGGGAAACAATCCAACCTCTAGACTTACAGGCAAGTAATGGATGCTGAGAGAAGAAGAATTAGCCTTTCCCAGGACTGAGGTCCCTAATCAGTTATCCGCTACAAGGTGCTCAGCCTTGAGATTATAGACGTGCAAACAACAAAAGCAATAGGCTCTAACTGGATTGTGTTAACACTGACCACTGGGCAAAAAAAACCTGTCCAATTACTTAGCCCTAAACAAACTGTGGCCAGTGTTGGGCTGACTGCTTCTCTACCTCACCAAGGGAGGTCAGGTTTCCCAAGTTCATCCTCCACAGGAAAATCTCTCAGATTTTCTAGGTCTGGCAGCTGAAGCCTTTAATTTTATCTGAAAACCATAAAACTCAGAAAACAAGTTTCAATGCAAGCACAAGCTCCAGCTATCATGGCGCCATTACCAACTAAAAGTTGACTTCCTACCATTCCCTTTATATAGAAGAACTTGCTTTTCATCCACAGCTCTCAGCAATCGACCCCTAAGTCTCATGGTAAATGATTTGATGGGGTAGGGGTTTAAAGTTTATGTAGGCTCTCGGGGTCTAAAGGAAATGTTTTAAGGCATGCAGATATAAGTTGTGGGAGTCAGTCTAAGAAGTGACTTAAGGTATATGAAAATGACACTTAAAGATGATAACCTGATGTTAAGAGTTTTAACATATAAATCAATGGAGTTTTTTTTTTTTCCAGACAGGGTTTCTCTGTGGCTTTGAAGGCTGTCCTGGAACTTGCTCATGTAGACCAGGCTTGTCTCGAACTCACAGAGATCCTCCTGCCTCTGCTGTAACTAAAGGTGTGCGCCATCACCGCCCAGCTAAATCAATGGACTTCTAATCAGCTATTAATCTAGCCTTGGTAGTACTGGATAGTCTCGTCATAAACAATTTAACAACCTTTGTTTTCTAAATATAGACTTGAAAGTGCTGACCACTGTGCTGAAAACTTCTCTGTCACATATATACGCATACATACATATGCAAAGGTATAAAATCTCCTCCATCCCTCTGGACGGAGAAGCTTTCTGCCATGGCTCAAAGGCTCTTGCTATGTTGACAATGCTCAGTAAGCTTCTGGTCTTAGTCTCTAGTGCAGTAACTGGGACAACAGAAGTAAGCTACTGGGTGTAGCAAAAAGAAAAACAAGTTGTGACCGAGTACTGGATTACCCTAATTCTCGCTTTTTGGAGTATACAGGTTAGAATCGAGGAGTTTTTTTTGTCCTCAACTTGCTGATCAGAGTGGCCTGCCAGTGTTGCGTGCCTGGTACCTACCTGGATTCAGGGTCGGATTCTGAAGGAAAAAGCTGGGCTGCTGTGGCTGGCTCATCAGGTTATAACCCCACAGGGCAGGCTGCGGGTGATGCATCATTTGGGAGGACATGGGCGAGTAATTAGGAGGCACCCGGTACATGTTGCTCTGCTGATACTCCTACAACAGAAACATCTTTTTAATTTAACTTAGTAAACCACACCCAGTTAATCAATAGAAGTTCTTCCTATTCAGTTATGGGGGGGCATCCCATCTCAGAACTCAAGGCTGTATTTTGTGAAAGGGAAGGCAGAGAACGTAAATGATGACCATTTCCTGAAAGATACCCATGTGAATTAAAGGTTTTCTTTGATTTAAAACATAATAATATTGCCAGGTGTTGGTGGCGCACGCCTTTAATCCCAGCACTTGGGAGGCAGAGGCAGGCGGATCTCTGTGAGTTCGAGACCAGCCCGGTCTACAGAGTGAGTTCCAGGACAGCCTCCAAAGCCACAGAGAAACCCTGTCTCGAAAAACCAAAAAAAAAAAAAATAAATAAAAAAAAACATAATAATATTCGCCTGGCACATACAAGGCCCTACATTTCGTCTCCTGTGTCACCACGCACACACACACACACACACACACACACATACACACTCACACCCACATACTCACACACACACTCACACACACATACACAAGTTCCTCACAGCAGACATTTCAAAAGCCAAAAGCACATGTCTGAATAAGAACTGTGCCCGAACGGCCTAGATAGGCCTAGACAGTATCTTACCACCCACAGCTTTCCATTCCCCAAATCCCGATGCTTTCTCCTCCTTATAGCAGGTACAGACCCTTAAGGTTCACACCAGAAAGCCCCAACTTTTTTGTCTAGTATGGCTGTCAGGGATGACAGACAATGAGCATCTCAGTGCCCTTCAGCTGGACAAAAGGATGTAATCCCACTGGGAAGGGCCAGCTTCAGGAGGAGGGTTCTGAGTGTATTCAGGTAAGGCTTTTTGTATGTGAAAAGAAGCCCTCATGCGTGTGGTTTGGCAGGTCAGAGTGTCCCAGGTTTGGGAGAGGGTGCTGGTGTTCAGGAGGCACCTGGAAGTGACAGCAGCCATCTCTCAAACTGTCTTTGTGACCAGGCTGTCAGCTGGTTCGGGGCTGGCATAGGTGAACACAGCGAAAATTGCTCCTGAACAGCTGAGTGCTCATAATGAGTACTTCTCCCCGACCAGGCCAGAACATCTGTGTACTCGACAGAAAACGGTCTGAAGATCATCTCGTGTAGACCCAGGTGATTCCGAGGAGAAAGCTATCTTAAATAGTGCATCTCATATTGTATAAAAATCATCTAATTGGCCACTGGTACTGGAAAGGCAAAGAAGGGGTGGGAGATAATCTTGAATCTATCTTTTGTAAGATCTGAAAATATGTTAAAGACAACTCGGTGGGGGGGGATAGAAGACACAAGGGCGAAGGAATAAAAAAAAATCTCAGGATCATGCCGTTGGGCAAATCAGAGGCAAATTCACTCAGAGAAAAGTGGAAGGGGCTTTTCAACGTCAGTTCGCTGCAAATATTGACCATTCAAAAAATAATACACTCAAGTATACCTATGAATAAAAGTGTTTAAAGACGGTGAAGTCGTATACCCCTGAAAAAGATTAAAAGTGTCAAACCCAGGGAGACGATGAGGTTCTATTAACCCAACACTACCCACTCCCGAAGTCTCGGGTGAAAGGAGCCAGGGTTGAGAACGGAAAATCAACAGCTTTTACCCAGACATCACGGCGTGCCCTGTCTCCTCTATTGGCACAGAGGTGTGGAAATCATGGCGTGCTCTATTGGCACAGAGGTGTGCCAGGAACAACTCTTCTACGGGAAGGCTGGCAGCGCTCTTGGCGAGCTGTCTGGGAGTAGGGTGTGGCCACGGGTAGAACCCCACCCTAGATGCTCAGGAGCTACTCACATCCATGCGTGAGCTCGATCTGGTCTTCCTCTTCCTCCCCTTGGCCTTCTTCTCCTCCTCGGAGGCAGTGGCGGTGGCCCTGCCTGGATCCGAGGGGTCTGATGCTGACTTCCTCTCTGGTTCTTGAGACACGGGAGACGCGGGCTCTTCCTCCTCCTCCTCCGGGGGCAGGGGCAGCGGCTCCAGATAGTAGCTGCGGGGCTTGGGCATGGTGTGCGTGTGGTAGAGCAGGAAGTGGTGCTGCTCCTCGTACTTGACCACCTTCCTGTCCACGCGCACCGTGCCGAACCAGGCCCAGGACAGAGGGGCCGGGTTCTTCTGGCCCTCAAACAGGTCCCACGGGGACACCTTCTGCTTTGTGGAGACCTGGAGACCCTGCCGGGGTGAGGGGAGGGAAGAGAGCAGCGGTCTGTGGACAGCAGAGGTCTGGGAGGGATGCATGCTCTGGCCCTGTCCCCAAAGTCGCAGAAGCAAGGAACTTAGGGGGACTCCATAGACAGAGCTAAGTCGGGGCGCACGGGAGCTCAGAACTCGGGGGAGTTCGGTTCCCCGGCTTCCTGGGCCACCCGCTCGTCCCCTCAAGGCGTCTCCAGGTAATCTAGATTGTTTTACTCTAAAAAGACATGGACATCCAGTTTGTGCCAGCCAATATAGTCTCCCCAGTGTCCCTGTATAGGAAGCTGGCCTTACAACACAAGGTGATAGCCCGTTACTCATTTCAGTGGCCCGATCCCATCGCTTTTAAGGTGGTCACAATGTAAAAGTCGGTACACAGTCCGCCTCCCGTGTAGGCTCATATTCACGGCAGCTCAACCTATACGGACTTGAGGCAGTGTGTGGACTTCTGGTGCACCTAGCCTGGCATCGTCTGGACAGAATGCTGTGAGGGAAAACTTCCTTACAGAAACAGGTACGACACGAATCAAGTCCTTCTTACTCTTTTATTTTTAAACATTCTTTTCATTTGTCCCTTGTGTCTTTCACCGAATCAAGCCTTTCAATTCCAACTAAACCTTCACTGAAAAAAACCAGAGCGCTTTTATCTGTCACATTGATTGGTGGACATTTCTTGGTAACTTCGCCAGTATACCAATTCAACCATGTTTCTTCTGAAAAAAAAAAAGAATGGCCAAGGTACCTTCCCCTTCAACCCTGGATGTGAGCATACCTGTTCTTGCCTGGGCTTCCTCTGTAAGAGTGGCCTCTTCGGACACCGCTAGCAAAGTCCCCACTCCCGGCTGTCTGTCCTGTGACGAGCACACTTTCCCGAGTAGAGCTCAGATCGACACGGATCCTGGATGCCTACTGCTAGACAAGCCAAGTCATCTTGACCTGGCCACACTGCCATGGCATCCAGGCTACCTCAGAAGTGGGACGGCATTGGTTTGCCCCTAGGAGTCACCTTCTTTCTTGCCTTGATTTAAACTTTCCCTGCCTGTTCCGTTCTTTCCTGTGTAATTCTTTTTTTTTTTTTTTGGTTTTTACGAGACAGGGTTTCTCTGTATTGTTTTGGAGGCTGTCGGTCCAGCCTGGCCTCGAACTCACAGAGATCCGCCTGCCTCTACCTCCCGAGTGCTGGGATTAAAGGCGTGCGCCACCAACGCCTGGCTTCCTGTGTAACTCTTAATCCTTCCAAATGGTCTGTGCAGCCAACAAATGCTCTGACTACCTCTCCCTTGTCTGGCTTAAATTGCCCTCCTCTGTGACTCTTAATCCTCTCTGGATATGACTCTGTTTTTTGTTTGTTTTTTTTTTTCTTTTTCTTCGAGACAATGTTTCTCTGTGTTGTTTTGGTATCTGTCCTGGAACTTGCTCTGTAGACCAGGCTGACCTCCAACTCACAGAGATCCACCTGCCTCTGCCTCCCGAGTGCTGGGATTAAAGGCATGCGCCCCCCAATGCCCTGCTTGGATATGACTTCTTATGATGCCAATAGCTATTGTGCTTAGATGACAAAAATAATACCTTGAAAATGAAGAAATGGAGCAATGATGTTTTGTACATCCTCAAAGAATGTAAGAGAAGTCACTTGGCCTCTACAACTAGATGCATTTATATACGAGGGGAAAAAAAAAAAACATTTACTCTTGCCTGTTTTTTATCAATGGAGTCAAATCCAGCAATTTTGTTTCCCTTTGTATCGATCAGAGAACCCATGGGTTCACAAGTGATGACATCACATGTCTGCTTTGGCAAAGGTAACAACTGTCGAACTTTGTCAATGCTTTCTGACCGCTTGTCTCCTAGTTCTTTCTAGAAGAAAAAGAAAATAAAAATGTAAAAAGCAAGAGAGAAGTGGGACAGAGATGCTGACTTTACAGCGAATACAGAAGTCCATAAGAAGGAAGTTCCCCAATGACACAGTTCCTTGTTTTAATATATATAGAGCCAGTGTGCTTATTAACCCTCCATACAGCCTATGGGACATCTGCAAATCAGAGTGGTGAAGTGTTTCATTTCTTCTATTCAAGTAGAAAACAGAGGGCACACAAAGGCAGTCTTGTTATAGGGAATATCAGAGTGCTGAGATGACAAAATCCACTGTGTTATTTGCAGTCACACAGCAGGAACCGCAGCACGGACACTTTGGCGTTATCCAGGGTCAGACTGCAAGGTAACCACCAGTTATTTTCTTGTAAAGTCTTCAGGTTTATGTATTTGCAATGTTTATTTACTGTTTATTTCAAGGACTATTAGTGGGTTATCAAACAAGTCGGATTTACAAACTCAATGCAAATGCTCATTTTTTTTTCCCACTTGCATGTACAAATCCAAGCTTGGGTTTAACGGAAATCTGATGCTGGAGTTTTGGTTATACATTTGATAAGGCATTTCTAAATCACTCACAATGTAAACATATTTTATGAATATAATTTTTTAGAGAAAATTCTTTCAGATAGCATACTTGTAATTTTGAAGGGTTGGCAAGCCTAGGCAAGACAATAATCACATTATGTTGAATCAGCTACACATGTAAATTAATGAGTAAGAAATCAGACAACCAGTCCTTAACCAACTCTGGAATGGAGGCAGATCACAAACTTACTTTCAGTTTCTTTACCAAATTCATGTATGCGCGTCTGTTCTCTTCAGATCCCCCGGGGGAAGCATTTGATAGGTCAGAAGCCAGTGTCCCATTGATTAAAACCCCCAGCATGTCAAGAACTGTTGTGAATAATTCACTGAGAGGAAAGGAAAAACCCCATTTTACTCTTAAAAAACAAAATCAAGATCCACATAGTTATCCAAGTGTCTCTACTGAAAGCGCTGAGTTTTTAATGACATCTAAGTCAGTAAGTGTCAGAATTTACTGTCAGTAATATCATGCATGCATGCAGCAAAAAAGTAGAAACTGATAAAAAAGACATACTTGTTAGTGTGCATGTCAACAGTTCCTGAAGTAATTATCTGGAGGAGTAGAAGAGCCCAATCAGTGGTCCCCTGGGTGCTCCTCTGGACCGTGTCAAACATCCCTCCTACCTAGCATACAAAGTACAGTAAGGAATTTGTAGCTGTAAGATAAAATACCATGCCTGTTACTATAAGTGTCTAGATGTTGAGTTCTTAGAACCAAAGAGATGTTAAGAACTGGTTCTCACTAAGTTTAGGTTACGGACTGCCCTGTAGTCTGTCTCATTTAGGAACGTGTTTATCACGAGTTTTGGTTCTTTCAACATAGCATAGTCAAAAAGGACAAAGAGTAATACTTAACCATTACTGGCTTTCTTTTCTCTCCCATGGTACCCAGTTGTAAACACAGTTGCAGAAAAATCAACCCTACATTACATCAAAACTCTGTCTGATTACCTGAAATTTAGTCATATTCATTTATTATTGCATCTAAGTCTGCTATTACAATACCCCCTGGGAATGTTTGTTAGGTCTGGTGTCCTGCCCTGTGTTGAGGTTAGGCTGCCAGAAATCAGACATGCTGCCACCCAGGGTAGATTTCATTTGGGGTTTGTCCAACAGGAAGAGAAACACTCAAAGGAATACAAGATGTCTTGAGAACTTTTAGATTCTATTAAAAAGAAAAACACGAACGTTCAGGTGACATTTATCTCTTTCTAGTCAAATTTGACAGGGTTAATCAATTCTGGCTGACTTTGAGTTAATGGATTTTATGGTTTCAAAATAAAATACAGCAGCGCTAACACTCATATTGAAATAAAGGCTTCGGAGACCTCCCCTCAGCACCGACTGAGGAGGAGGGGAAATCTGACGGAAGGAGCCCGCTAGGAAAGAGAACTGTTGCTCAAAACAGAGTGTCTATGATCTGTAAAATAAGACTGTTTCTAACTCAAGTAAAATTTGTAAAAAAACAAAACACCAGACCGTCCAGAGCCCCATCCAGACAGGAAGGAGTGCGGCAAGGACGCCAGGGGGTTAGGAGAAGAGGAAGTCCATAGAGACAGAGAGAGGAGGAGGGCAGCCCTTTGCCAGGCAGCATGTGCCCTGGAGAGGATGGAAGCTGGCGTTATTTTCATGCAGAGAGGGGCGGCGGGATAGGAGCGTGGTCCTTACCAGATTTAGTCGCAGCTGCAGGGCCTCGTGCATCATCTGGCGAGCTTTCGTATCATCTTGGTATCTTTCTTCCCTCCAGTTGCTTAAGATCTAAGATCAGGCACGAAAGGAGAGAAAAACAAGCACAACAAATCCCTTCGTTGTCTGTTACGACAGAGCTCAACAGTGAGAGCTAAAACCTACTTCTCAGCTTTAAGGAGTTGAAGACATTTGCTAATTTTTTTGTTTTGTTTTTATCTTCGCCTTCTTCCGCAGAGACAAAATCCTAGCCATTTTATGGTTCATTTGCCCGGGTCGCTGAGGGATGAGAATCTGACCTAATTACATTTATATGCATGCACGCGTACGTCATCAGATTAAACTATTAATGTGGTATTCTGAAGATAAATATTGAAAAGGCATTCCATTTCTCACTGGTCCCATGTTACATTTCCAGGGACACTCTATAAATCCTAGCAAATGATTTCTTTTTGACATCTTACTGGAATTACTACTTGCTATCCAATGAGTAATCTTTCCTGATTAAGAGAATATATACTATTTTCAAAAAAAAAATGTAGCCCCTTAGACCAAGATCAGTCAAATTTATAAAGTGGACTGCTTCTTCATTTCCTCAAGAGTAGCTCTGGGAACGGTTTACTAAAGGAAGGCAAACAAGTAGGCATATCCCAGAACAACATGGACAAGAGCCAATAAACGAAAAACTCCTGCCATGTTCTAAACTAACAGCAACTGACGAAAATCGCCTTCAATGAGCTAAAAAAAAAAAAAAAATGGGCTGCAGGGGTGAATGACTCAGCGGGTGTGAGGACCTGAGTTGGATCCATTTAAAGGTGCACGGGGAGTGGCACCTGTAATCCCAGTATCCCTAGAGCAGGACGGGAGGCAGAGGCAAGAGACTTCTCATACGCAGCGGGTGTGATGACACAGAAAACGGAGTAAGCCCAGTGGCCTCGCTCATGTCATCAGATCCCACTTGACGTCACAGGGAGGCTTCAGTGTCAGGGTAACCCAGCTCACACCGCCAACTAACACCTTTCCTTGATGCCACACGTTCTGATTTTCTTTTTCGTTTTTTCCTGCTCCCCGGGATTCCAGGCAAACTAGCTAAAGAGCAGTATGAGGCAACTTAACTTTCATAGTCTTCATAGGTCCGTCAATGCATACTTAACACGAAGTTGTCAGCTAGCCTCAGGCTGACCACGACGCTAGGGCGGAACTGGACACGGGTTTTGTTCCCTAGTACCTCACTGGTAGACACGTCTGTCTAACCCCGTATTGGAAAGGGCGATAATGAGCACAGTCAGAAAGATATGGGCCTGGCTCTGCTACGACATTGCACTTTACCTGATTGACTTGGTTCTGCAGAGATGTGAGGAGGCCTTCCCGTTGTTCATCTTGCCCCTTAAGGCAGGTAAGGACCAAGGAGAGGAAAGGTTGCTGACTCAAAAGAGACATACTGCAAAGGAAGTAGTAACGGTTAGAGAGAATGGCTTGCCCCGCCCCCTGCCCCGCCCCGCATAACAGCTAATCTGTCTAGTAGACTCCCTGCTCTTGTTTATTTGCCACTAGACAAAGGACAGATGGCAAGCCACCAGAGAACACTTGGGAAGGTGACACACTCCTGTACTTGCAAGGTTAAAAGCCACTGGCAAAGCTTGTAAGTGACAATGCTCAATGACAATGCTCTATTGCACTGGAAGGTGTTGCCAAGGCAACAGAAAGCGACAGCCGATGTGATGAGCCTGCTTTATGTTACCAGGGAGATTTTTAAAATACACGTGACAAAGACCACAGACGTACTCGCAGATTAATAAGAAAAATTGGGAAGTTCCTCAGACAAAACTCTCCTTTAGGAAGCACACGTCTCTGTGAGCCTTGAATATTTTGGACACCCGTGGGTGTTTTCTGTGTGTTCCCCAAAGGTCAACAGCATCTTGGGGAAGCCAGGGGTGGACACGAGGTCTGAGGCCTCCAAAAGCAAAGATTCTTGCTGGAAATATCTAGAGCCAGGCTCTGACACAGCCCGATGGCCTCCAGTGGGAAAGGGGCAAAAATTCTACTTGCAGTTTTCACGTTCATAAGATATCTTCAGTTAGGGAATAATGGATAAGCTGACTGGTACAGGAAGAATGTAATTTTCTGAAAGAATAGATCTAAGCCAAAACTTTGGCTCAGGAGCTGCCTTTCATAGATGGCCAATTAAAGAATTGTTATGGCAGAATTATTAACAGGCAACAAGAATCCCTGTTTTTCAGTTTTTATAAAATGAAGACATTATGACTTTTCTCTTAAAAGTTCCTTGGATGCTAGATTTATAGTGTAAGTACTCATCCTCAATATAGTATGATCTATTTTCAAAAGTAATTCTTTGGAACCTTTTCTTGGTCATAAAAGCAGTTTTGGCAGTTGTTGTGACTACTTTAAAACAGGAGTCCAGAGCAAGGTTCTTAAATTTTAGAGAACCGGCAATTATTTCAAGGTTGTAGGTCAGGATTAACAGCAAACCCATGTTTCAACGGCTTTGCAGTGATTGGGACACACAGGCTGGGATGGGAACTTCTGCACGAAGCATTAGCACAAGGCCAGCCCCCGTGGACACTGGGTATGGCGAGGCTGTGATGCCGGGTGCTAGGCCTCCTCCAGACGCTAGCCTCCCGGAAGGCATCCACCAGCGTACCTTTTCTGTTTCTGCCTGTCTCTTTCCTTCTTGGAGGAAGAGCCCAGGTGCTGCCCCTTCTCCAGCTCCTCCCCAGCAGCTTTCAACACTCTTCCCTGTACCGAGGTTGGCAGCCTGGCGATGAGGGGGGCCACCAGCCACACACCCCTGCGTTCAGAGGAACTAAAATCAGAAACAGGCGTTACACCTAACAAAGCCGCTGGTCTCTGCTCTCACAGCCAATACAGAAACCCAGTAGTAAGCCCCGGATGGGTAAGACACAGACTTTTGAAATTATCCCCCTATCATGTCTGTACTTTCTCCTCTTGCGAAAGACCAGATGTCTGCGTACTGCTTATTCATTCTACCCACATTCATTGAGAGGTAAAAGGTGCTGCTCTGGGAAGGCATTTTCCATACTCAACTGCTCTCAGTGACTCTCCTGGGCCCTGCCTTTCTGATCACTCACCACCCTTCCCCATGGACACAGTCATGGGCACAATATGCAGTGGCATTGTGTTCAAGCCCATCTTTAAATTCTAGAGCTCTTTTTACCAAGATGATGATATACAAACCAATCTGTGATGGAAAGCATTACACTGTGATTTCATAAAACTCCATCAAGTTCTGTTATGAATGCAAGTTACTGTATTTGCACAAAAAAACTGTCAATTAATAAAGGCACATGGAGAGCAGTTCATATTTAATGACTGGCCCGAAGTCAGTAGTGCCATGAGTCAAACTCAAGTTCATCTGTGGCCCCACAGTATCTGGACCTGCAACAAGACACCTCAAGTGCCGAGACACCACTCACCCCATTTTTGCCCCTTAACTTGCTGAGTAACCGAACTGTCACTTATAAGTGATCATTTCCTTCACGTTTCCAGAAGCCCAATGAAGAACGGCATTAGGCTAATCACGTTTACCGTGAAGTACCGCTGGTAGTGCAACAAAACTATAAGGCGATACCTTAAAAATGTCTTTATTCCGTTCTGTCTCGTGCTGCTCGTGTCAGCGCTTCCAATACCGTTTGGGTTGAAGAGGCTTATGCCGGAATTGGGGGCATTGTTGTTTAGGTCTGCAGACTGCTGGAACACTTCTATTGTTGCCTTTGCAATATTGTCCAGTAAGTTGTTCATTTCAGCCACAGAACCAGAGCTCTAGAGTCGGGGAAACGAAAGAGAGCTAGCCCACCTGTGTACGCCTTGATCCTCAAACATCAATGACTCTTGCTTTTTGATTTCAAATTCACATGTGTGCTTTCAACATATACTCACTGGGTCCTTCAAGCACTGCTTGATCATTAACTGAAGCTCCAGCCACGACTGTCTCAATGTCCACTGCTCAAGATTCTGGAGAAAATACAGGGAATGAATGGTAACATTAAGGACTCCGAGCATCTGCTACCGTAACCTTGAAGTGATACTCATGCCCATGGATTAAGGGTTTCCAGTCTAATACCTGATGAAACAAGCATTCACAACAAAACGGATTCAAGCCTCAAAATATGTTCCCCACCCAGCTAGGAACTAGGAGTCAGACAAGCATGGCATCTCTTAAGATGTATTTACAAATTAGCCAATCTCATTCCAAAATGGCATGTTTCTTCCATAGCATACTTAAGACGGACCATCATAAAGGTTATTTCTCAAGTAAATAGAGCAGTGACTTAAGATACCAGTGTTTACCTGTAATTATACACTGTTTCCTACAGACTGTATCTACTAACTAGTCAGCAGGGCATAAGTCAGAATGAAAGTCAAGAGTCAGATGGAGACAGCAGCGAAGTAGTCCTTTCTACGATGGTATTGTGATGGGTGACCTAGGGAGAGCCTTGGGAAGGCGCCACTTACCTGAAGGATGCGCTTAATGTGCTGTCTTTGGAGGTTGTCTCCCTCGGTGCACTCTTTAATGCCATGAGGGTAACAGATCAGCTGCAGTAGTTTCTGTGCTTGCATGTTTGAGAGCACGGGGTCCAAAATCAGCTCTTTGTCTGTGCATAAGCGTTCTGGCTCTTTTAAGCAATGTTCTCCTACCCATTCCTGAAAGCAAGCCAGCGGTTAGACGGGTAAGGATGGGTTCTACCTGCCTGTGTATTACGGTCTCAGAGCAAAAGGCTACGCGGCTAGTGAGAACGGAGACAAATTCATGAAAAGCAGGTGGAGGAAGGTTTGCATGTTGCAGATTTGCTTCTTTTGTTGTGTTCTTTGTGTTTGCTTTTAGACAAGGTCTCAGGTATGGCCTTCCAATTCACTAAGTGGCCAAGAATAACCCTGAAGTATTGATCTTTCTACTTCTCTTGTACTCAGCGCTGGGATGACAGGCCTAAACTGAATGCCACGTCTTCCCGCCTACCAGGGCTTCCCGAGTGCCAGGCAAGCATGGCATCAAATAAGTTACACTGCCAGCTAATGGGGAAAGTTCCAAAACAGAATTCTAACATTCTGACATCTTAATACAATGTGGGAGCAACTTTTATTACAGGAAAAAGTTTTAAACATATGGGGGTGGAGATGAGTCGTGGTGTACTTTCTTAAAATGAGGGCTTACTCAGAAGTGCTATTTTGCAGACAGGTTTTTGTTTTGTTTTATTGTTGTTTGTTTTTTACTTGGTATAAAATGACAATGATTTTATGCTATGCATGCTTTCATTCACTTTATGGGATATTTTCTGCTAAACAGGGAGAATACCGTATGCAAATATTCAGAAGGTTGCATTCCTTTGACACTGGCATCCTTGCCATTTTTTTCCTTTATTAAATGGCATAAGAAAATGTCAGCATTAGAGCTCAATCTGGTCCCAAATCTCTTTCAAATGATGTCACTGGGAGTTATATAACTCCATGGTCCATATCAGCAGGCAGCACTAGATCACTCTCAGACAAAGGTACCCAGGTTTCAGTGTGCTGCTTTTCTAGGTATCAAATTATTTATTTACTGACTCAGCGACTTTGTTTGTTTGTTTGTTTGCATATGGGAGGCTTCTGGCATTGTAGGATAGGCCAGAAGCCTCCCATAGGAATTGGCGCAGACCCTCTTGGGACACTAAACAAGGCCAGCACCACCTAGCTCCAGGCATCTGTAGAAGTATAGACAGCCCAGTGACGCCACTGTATGCTCCCAGTTGGGAAGTGGCACAGGACTACTGCTCGTAACTGTGGAGCTGTTTAAATTTACCACGATCAAAAAATGTCTGAGTTAAGAATGTGTCTAACACAAATTTCAAAATGCGTAATGCAGACACGTTTTACAATACAAGACTTTTGAAAGTAGGGAAAGATAATTAGAGAACCCTGAGGCTAACCACTGTGCAGAGCCTGACAGGAAGAAGATGCCGGGCAGGAGACAGGCTGCTGTGTATGCTTTTGGCTGAGCTTTGGCTTTTGGATGTATGCTAGGATATGGACACTAGTTAAGGAAAAAAGAAAACCCAAAAAGGAAAAACAAAGCAAATAAAAGAGATTCTGATGTTAAAGAGAGAATGTGTCCATTCCAAGTGAAAGAGTCTGCAAAGGCATTCCTCTTTCTCCAAATGACATTCGAATGCATGATCGAATGCCTGCTCTTAACCCCTTCAGAAAAATGAAACAGCAAGCCAATATTTGCCTTTCTCAGGAGGCTTTTTTCCTAGTGGTATATGTGTGACAACTCAGAAACTACCCAAGGGACTGTATGGGGAACAAGGCTATCATTTGGCAAAAATGTAACATGAAATGGGAGAATGTAAAACACAACTTTAAAGGATTAGAATAGAACTAGAAGTATCAACATGAATTCATAATCTCATTCACACACATATATACACACACAAAACCACACATGTGCACGCAAATAAAGAAAATAGAATCTGGGTTGTATATGCTCTTTGCTGTAGGGCATCACTGGTAGACAGCAGAATTTGGTGTGTGTGTGCGTGCGTTCACACATGCATGCTATGCATGGTGGGTAATGCCTATGTGTGTAGAGGACAGGTATCTTCTAAGATCAGGTCTTTGTCTACCTTACATACATAGGAAGCATCCATTAGCTGACGCCAGAGCTCACCGCTTCAGCTTTCCCTAACCTGGTTTACCCCCTGGATCCTGTATCTCCACTCCCTGAATGCCGGGATTGCAGGCGGGCTGCCATGGCCACCCAGTATGTGCATGGGTTATAAGGCTCTATGCCTGCGTGGCAAGCTCCACACTCAGTGGGTCTATCTCAGAGGGTCTATCTCAGTGGGTCTATCTCAGAGGGTCTATCTCAGTGGGTCTATCTCAGAGGGTCTATCTCAGAGGGTCTATCTCAGAGGGTCTATCTCAGAGGGTCTATCTCAGAGGGTCTATCTCAGAGGGTCTATCTCAGAGGGTCTATCTCAGTGGGTCTATCTCAGAGGGTCTATCTCAGAGGGTCTATCTCAGAGGGTCTATCTCAGAGGGTCTATCTCAGAGGGTCTATCTCTCAGGCCCGTACACTGCGTGTAAGAATGACTGATGGTGGCCGTGAGGCAGGGAAGGAGACAGATGGATAAGCCAAGGTTCTCTAAAGAGACAGAAATGCGCCAGACATCACAAAAGGCCGGATGAAGAGGTTCCCAAGATTCCAGCCTAGAATAAGTTGGACATTAAAGAAACCCTGGCCGACATATTTATAACCCACATAGGTAATTAAATGAACACAAGGGAACAATCACGTAGGAAAGGTCTTTGAATAACGCAGACTGGTGCTGAGGAGGGAGGGGAGGGGCTGGGAGGGAAAAGGCAACACTCTGCCACCATTACAACAAAGACCGGCGTAGGTAAGAGTCACCACGGATGCTTACGCGGGATGAGGCCTGTGAGGAGGGTCAGAACATCTGCGTCTTCCCACAGACTGCTAGTCAACAAGGAAAACCGCTAGCAGCATAGCGGAGCCACCCTGGATCTAGAGGCGCCATGATCATAGCTGGCATCACCATCAGCCCCAATGTGCACTGTGCAATCGGAAGTGATTCCCTGGAATACTGCAGCGTCACCTCTGACCCCGTCCTCTCCCCCAATAATCTGAAGCTAGCCCCTAGAGCCTTATGCAAACCTTACAGCACTACAGTAAGTCAGAAAGTTCCCTATAGATGAGAAAAAAAAGAAATTATCGCACCAAAGCTAAGTTATGGTTTTTACTAACTTCACTTTGGATACGACAAGAAATGAAGTCTAAGTATCTGAAAGTAAAGCAGTGTAAACTTTGCCATCTACCGTTCAACTGTTAAGGAGAAAATATAAAACATCCAAAATTAATGAATCTGTATAGAGAATATACTGGAAGTCTTCATCATTGCAACTCTAACAAATCTGAAATTATTTCAATATAAAGGTATAAAGACAAAAAAAAGGACCACCCAAATAGAATTTAAAAAAAAAATAGCAGACAGTCATCTCTCAAAGAACAGTTACACGGTCAGAGAAGAAGCCATTGGAAATCAAAAGAATTTACCTGTTGGCAGATAGTCCTCAGTACATATCTAGCATATTCCCTTAGATTGGCGGTTTCGATGGAAATGCTTTTCCCATAGGATTTTGAATTCTGCGAGGTGGCCCAGGCATCTTCAGCATTCCCATCACGTCGTATGCCCCTCATGCTGAAGTCATCGTTCTTTAACGTGTTGACATTGTTACTGCCAATTTTGGCATCTCCTAAATAACAGAATCACAAGAGCAAAATCACAGAAGTTTAGAATATTGCCTCAAATATGAAACAGACAAATTAGGCTAAGTTTCAGGGACATGGACGGTACTACTTCAGCAAAGCCAGTTTTCCAGCGACAGAGAGAAAGGATCAAGAGACACACGAGAGAGAACGAAACAACTGGACATGGAGAAAAGTCAAACTCAAGACTCATTCCTTCTTTTGGTTTATAGATTTACTATTCTTTTGCTAGCCTTGGAAAGGCCATTATGAGTGACACTTACAGTCAGAACACATTGATTTCACCAAAATGTCAGGCAGGAAGGTGCTCAAGTTTATCTGAGCTACAGACAAGGAAGAAATCTGGCTACTCACCCTTCTAGGGGACCCTTTTCCAATTCCTCTCTTACAGTGACTTATTTTCTACCCATAGGCCAAGAGAAAAGTTTTGCCGTAGCCCACCTTACTATCAACCTCCTGACAAGAGGGATTTATTTCCCTGGGGATGGAGAAGGGCAACGCAAACTAAGAAGGCTCTGGAAAGCAGGGCTGTCTGCACAGAGCCTTACAGCTCCCAGCTCGGGGACCTTATCCGAGCGACCGCTGACATACTGAGTAAGACGAGGCTAAGGAAGGCACCTGACTCCTGACAGAATTCTGGGAGAAAACCAAACACCAAGAGCACTTGGGAAAAAAATAAGAAATTTCTACCCACGAGAGATTTAAAAAAATTAGAGTGAGATAAAGAGAGAGAGGGAATTTGGTAGTGAGACTGCGTCTCACTCAGTCACCATACAATGACAAAACAGGAAAATCGTAGGAGAAACAAGTATGCATTTCAATCTACCAATAGGTTATCGCATATTCTTCGTATACTTTAAAATGTAAGAGATGATGTCTTTACCAAAGGGAGTTTATTTACTTAAACAGAGATTTTCAAAAGTAGCAGAGGTATGTATTCTCTACTCTTGGATGATATAGTTACGTCTACCTCAAGTTAAACGACTACGTAAATTAGGAACAAAATTCACTATAATAGTCCTATTGTCCTACCTTAATACATATTTTGGTTGATAGGAATTAGGAGAAAATTGGTTAGGACCAATACATTAATTGCATTAAATTTTGCAAGAGCAAAACCAAGCACATTCCCCAGACCCACTTGTACACCTCCATTTCCTTTGGGTGTTAGGAGGACAGAAGCCTACATGACAGCTAGTTCCTTCTGCAACTGTATAGACAAAAAATAAAAATAAAAATAAATATTCTATGTGATCGGTCTCAGGCTTCACTGACATTTAACTGTGCTGGTCATAATTTCTCAGTCCAAGAAACCTCCCAAATGATATGAACATCTAAAAAACCTGGCAGCCATACTGGGACTAGCCCAGCGCTACAAACAAGGGGCCACTGTCTAGATGAGACTCATCATTGTGCACACCACTGAAGCATGTTGCCAGGCATTCGTACTTCCAACGTTAGCTTACTGAAACATCTCTTTGCTATTTTCTCTGGTGAGACTTAGAAATAGCCCAGGAGAAACACAGTTCCTGCCTTCATGACCCTGGCGATTTTTAAGTCAGTGAAGCCGACCGGTTCTCCTTCCCTTCGAACATTATCAGAGTAGAGAAACCACGCTGGCTGAAGTCAGCAGTTAGCATGGACTACATAATCCTGTAAGATCCTAAGCATAGAAAAGAGCCTGGAGACTTCTGGTAGTGCTACCTTTTGTTTTGCTGCAAAATTCATGACCATTTAATAAAAACCACGGCTGCTTTTCATTTACTTTTTTTCATACGGTATATACTGATCATATTTTCCCTCCCAACACTTCCCAGATCCTCCCCATTTCCACACCCATCCAACTTCATGTTCTTTCTCTTGATCTCTTTCTCTCTTAAAGAAAACCCAAAACAAAAAAATGAAAATCAAAACAAAACCGTAAGACAAAATAAATATAGCAAAACACAGCGAAAAGTCCACAATAAAAAAGCAGAGTTCACTTTTTGTTGGTCACCCGTTACTGGACATGGAACCTGTCTTGGAGTATGGTTGATATAGCTAGTAACACTCTATTGGAGAAAATGAAAAAAAATAGTATTTTCTTTTTTAAATATAGATTCTTTTTAACTGATTTTAATAGGCTCCTATGAAGACTATGCTATTGTTCTTTGCCATCCACAAATAACATCTCAGGCATAGTTACATCATCTGTGTTATCTAAGGCTCACCTCAACTCGTATCTTCTATTTAATATTACTGTTTGGTTCAGGTCAAAATGAGGGGCCCAGAGTTAGAAGTAGGCAACATTTGAGATCCCCTAATCAATCAGACCCTTTATGAATTACACACTAAAAATGGCCAGAGGTGTCCCACTGCCCACGGGCAGAGGGCAGTGATATTACTCCAGCAAAACCTGCACAAGTAAGAATGTAAAGGTCTCTGTGGGCACATTCATCAGATCAGAAGCCTGTGCCCCTCCTTCTGATCCCTGGCAATCCTAGCGCCATTGTGGTCCCACCTGTCCCACCTGTCCCACGAAAAGCATACGGCAGGATGATGTGAACTTGCTCAGCGTCACAACATTTGGAAGCAGGAACACTAGGTTAAAACCCAGGCTTTCTGATGTTCCGCACCTGGAACATAACCTGGCCGAAATTTAAACCTTCAACTGAAAATATCATTATTCTTGCCTATCACGAAAAGAGTGGTTTACATCAGAATGAAGTATCACGCCACTGAAAACCTAACACTAAGTACTTATATTTCAGTTCTCCCAAGGTCACCTTAGCCAAGGGACAGAATCCTTGGAAGTTCCCCGTCACTCATACTTAGGCAAAGACAATCCTGTTTTCCCAGAACAAACAAACAAGCAAACAAAAAATCCTAGGTTTCCAAGGACGTTAGGTAGATTTCACTGTGAAACATAAATTCATTTTGCCTCCACTTCTGGTGATTAACCACGAGGCTCGCGGCCAGGACAGTCTTACCAAGCATCATAATTGCCTTTAGGACAGCAAAAACTGCTCCCACTTCTATGCTGTTGTGAGCGGCGGCTAAGAGGTGTCTATCACAAGATGATCGTATTCCAGGAAAAGGTTTGCCTATGAAAACAACAACAAACCTTTAATGACCTCTTCTTCATTATTAATCGTCTTCTTTTACCATTTACACTCAGCAAGGTCTTTCATTGTTAGCTTGTGGGCACCTAACTGACATTAGTTTACTTTAATTGATGCTCCACAGACTCACTAAGAAACCCTGCCACTATTCTTACTTAACCCTTTCTCTTTAATTAGTATTAAAACAATGTTCCTGCTCCCCAGACAGATGGAGGAAAAAGATTAGTAGGGTTCCCACACAGATGCACCCATCTCTATATGGAAATGATTTAGTGCGAGACTTTACTAATAGCACCCCCCCCCACACACACACACACTGCCTCAGGAAAAAGTAAATAAATGAGCTGTCATCCCCCTAAGCTGAGACAGCATGGCCCAGAATCAACACCGGCTATGGAAGAGGATGAGACTTCCCACCGGCATGGTTATTTCCTAAGAGCTCAGGCATTTTTATTGTTTATGAATTCCCCATCTTATTTCCCAATATGTCCTCGTATTACACAATGAGAGGCACTGACAGATATTGGGGGGGGGCAGTATCTCAGTCCCCCATCACCTGCAGATCAAGCCCGTGAAGGTCAGGGAGGAAACTGCAAACTGGACAGCCCCCTTGGTCACAGAGCAGAATCCCAACCTCCAAATCAACAGAAGCAGAGCTTTCTCTGAGGTCAGCTCACCTGTGGCTTGAGGGAAAAAGCAGGCCTGGGGAGCTCGGAAGAGGTGGAGCAGGAGGCGGCACGTCATTCTCGCCCCTGGTTCTGCGTCCGCATCTCCACAGGCTGGGAAGAGGGGGGAGATTGAAAGCAAGCTTCCTCACTACTCCCCGACAAGCCTTTCGGGTTTCCCAGTTCCAAAGTTTCAGTAATACACCAAGTAAACTCTCCTCTCACTAAGGTCCTTAGTTGACCTTTCCAAGGAACCGTCAGGCTGGCTTGGACCACGTGTAACGCAATGGGGGGGGGTGCTCCCTGTTCCAGAGCTCAGTGTCACTCTGCATAAAACAGCTACTACAGTTCAACCATCCCCACCAGGTACCCTGCCACCCAAATCCCTAACGTGGTCCTTTCCCTATGCTTAACTGGCTACCCACCAGCAACCAGTGACACGGGCTGCCCGGGGCCAGCTTACCCGCTGCTAGCAGAGAGGGAAGGGCGACATGTTGCACGACGTCCTCCAGGGAGAAACACTGTCGTGCTATCAGGATAGCAATGAAAGTAGCTAATGAGTCATGGAATGAAAGGTCACTCACCTTTAAGAAAAACATTGACAAGTTTTAATGCCCAGCGCCCTTTAACATGGCATCAGAGACCACTATCTAAGAGACTACCGGCAACACGGCAATCCCAAACTAGAACCAGCAGAGGAAAACGACTTCGATTAACTGTCCTCTTGGGCCTATATCTACGACAGTAAGGCAAAGCAAGTTTCCTCAAATCCCAGTGATCTAGGGGGATGCTGACCTTCAGCTTACTTGCATGCAACTCAGAAAATAAAACACAAGAGCGAAATCAAGACGCTACTAAAAGAAATGTCATAAATGGTAGCTGCCGACTGAATGCACTGTGTTATTTTTGGGTAAGGCAGGATGCAGGAGACTCCCCCAGTGGGAAAACATGACCCACTAATCTTGAACATTCTTTCCTACTACAACTAACTAACGCACGTATTTTTAACGTGAAAGAATTCATTTAAAAAGGACTCTGGAACTTTTTCCATTGGCGGCTAAATTTAAAGAGAAAGATGAGAGGAAGGGGAGGAAAAATTAGTCCCGCCACAGCTGAAATCTCTACATCCCAGATCTCACAAGCACTGGAAGACGATACTAAGGGAACACAACTAACTATCACCATGGCAAGCTCCCAAGGGATCAATACTCAATGCAGCAAGTCACAGAATTAGACTAAAAAAAAATTAGGTCTTTGTCGTATGGAAAAGCAGCCTACTACAATAGGCTATAAACAATGTCTTAATCCCTGGATAAGGAGGCAGGACTGGCATTTAGTCCCAAGACCCCAGAAATAGGAAATGAACCTCAGTTTTAGAACTGTCAGTTTCTTTAATAACACATACAAATTTCTGACACAGATGACTAATGATAAAAGTATGAATGGATAAAGAATCCACACAGATGGAATATCGGGAAGTCATGTACGCGATTGGGACAGTCGCTCCATCCCTCTTCAGGAACACTCTGAGAAACACTGAATGCCCTCTGAGTCTACGCATGGCTTTTCTTACAGAAAAAAAATGACATCATCTATATTCTAAAATATATACTGGTTCTCTTCATGTATGAAATGCTCTACGTCCTGTTCTGAGGAATCCAAGCCAGAAAAGAATAAAACAGCTGAAACCATTCACATATAAAACCTCAGCCCCTAGAACATATGGAATTCCTTCTATTTATTTTGACTTTGTAATTTATTTAATTCATGGTTATGAGCCTGTGGTTTGCCACTTTTGGAGACAGAAAAATAATTTTTTGCTTTGCTACAGCTTAGTGTAACGTGATTTCTTTCCCACCAGCTGCCTGGGTCCGGCTGCTGTCTCTGCCACCAAAGAACTCATGAGGCACTATATTAATTATGAAGCTATTGGCTGTTTGCTATGGTTTCTTATCGGCAAGCTCTGACCTAATTATTAACCCATAATTACTAATATGTATTTTTATAAGGTCTTATCTTACCTATGACACAGTCTCATGCCTCCTCTCCGCCTGGGTCACATGGTGACTCTCTACTCTTGACTACATTTCCCAGAATCCTCCTTGACTCCTAGCCCCACCTATCTTGCTTCCCTATTGGCCAGCAGTGCTTTATCAATCAACCAATAGGACAACATATACACAGAAGGACTTCCCCCATCAGTTTAGTAAATTAAGTAGTAAAAAAAAATTAACTAAATTTTAAATTGTGGTCTTAAGATAGAGAGAAAACTTACATCCACAGTGCAGAGCACGTCATTAAATCCCCACACATGATTTGAAGAACAACAAAGGGCCTTCAGAACCCCCAGCCATTCTGAGCTCAGGACTGTGCAGCAAGCAGTTAGCTCAGAGGAGAAATTGGCTATGTCATTTATCCTGGGAAAGAGAGAGAAGACAGCAGAAAGTGATTTGGTACAAATGAGGAATGATTACATGCGACTTCTTCATTGAATACGTGTTTCATTATCGTTAAGCATTACTTAGATTTAAGGATGTAATTAATACCACTTGTCAAATAACATGTAATTAGCACAAGTGAGTTTGCATAGTTTTGATTCTATGAACAAATTTTATCTCTACTTTTGCATTCTATAGGAATCAAAAATTAAGGACACAGGGCTGGGGATATATTGTGTACAAGATCCTGGGTTCAATCCCTAGTACTGCCACGATAAATAGTTAAAGACATTATGTAATATAAGTAGGCCCAAGTACAGTTCACATTAAAATATAGTATTCTTTTCAAAACTGTATATGGTTTTCAAAATGGAGCACAACTAAAAAATATCCCTTGCCAAACTAAGAATCCAAAAGTAACTGTTTCTTGGGTTAATGATACTAAGATATAGCAGGGGTAGAATCAGGAATAAAAGAAAAGCAAATGTGAGCTCACGTAGCTACCAAAGAAACACCAAAGTAACACCTCCTTGATTATTGATGCAAACAGGGCAAAGAAACTCACCGGCCGGCATCCTGGTGTCCCATGCACACATTCATGAGTGTGTTGCAGACAAAGCTGTACCGATTGGCAGCATTGTCACTGAGGATCTTGCCCAGCATTGAGTAGTTGACGCTTCTTGCTGAGGGATTCTCAATAAAATCCATCATAAAGTCTGGATCCCAGCGTAAGTTGGAATTTGCAGGCATTACGTTATTATATATGGTCTGCTTTACTTTTGAACAGGCACTACTAAGTTTAAAAACAAATAGTTACTAAAGGAAAAAAAAACAGCCAAGAAAAATCACTTCTCTTAAGGACATGTTAAGTGGGAGCAACTCTAAGGCTTTCCTAGACAATCCATATCCTACTATTACTACTTTCAAATTCTTTGTAAACCACCATTGGGTACTTGCTCAAGGAAGAGGTTTCGAATTTCTATGTGGAAACAAAATGAGATATTTAATTACTAAGATTAGTTATTTTCCAAATCTTTTCTATATGTATATGGTCTAAAAACATCAATGTATTTACTAAGCCATCTAACAACTTTTTCTTCCTCTATTTTCCTTTAAATTTATTCATTAACTATATAAACAGTGTTCTTTCTGCATGCACCCCTGCAGGCCAGATCTCATTACAGGTGGTTGTGAGCCACCACATGGCTGCTGGGAATTGAACCCAGGACCTCTGGAAGAGCAGCCGGTACTCTTAACCTCTGAGCCATCTCTCCAGTTTCCAACTGTCTCTTTCTTAGGAGTAGTTATAAAGTGCTATAACCTAAGAATAAAAATGGATCCAATTACACACCAGGAAAAATTTAGTGTTTTGATACTAACTGCAAACCCCAGACCCTGTTCTTTTGGGTATAGTATGCCTAGTCGTGCAGTTCCTGTGCCAAAGTTACTGTGGGCTCTAGGCCACAGCTCTGTTAAGTGGAGGTGAACCTCCTGCATTGGCAGAGCTCACACTCTGCATGCAGATAATACATTCTATAGTACGAGAAAATGTAGACCAAGAAAAAAAGTAAGATAGTTGGGCGTAGCATTATACACCATTAATCCCAGCACTTGAAAAAGCAGAGGGCCTATAAATTCCAGGCTAGTTGGGGCTGAATCCTGCATTTCTAGTCTTTCTGTGAAACAAGCAAATGTGCTTTAATGTACTCTATCAACCGAGAATTTACAGTGGGTTACAACTGAATAGATATGAAATACTAGAAATAAAAGAGAATTAGAATATATTCTCTGGCATTTCTCCATAGACAAGGGAAGCAATGATGTAATCCCCCAGTGTTGATCCCTTGTGAGCTCAGCCATTCCCTCCCTCTTGCTGTGAGCCATAAATCCATCAGCAGCAGTCCCTTTCCTGCTCCAGAGCTCTGCTATGTAGCGGGCATTTCTGGGGATCAAATTTCTGGCAGATGAAATTTTTGTTATTAGGGTGACACATAGATCCAACAGTTCTTAGAGGCTCAGACAACTCTGCTTTTCTTTCTTAACTTTTGGGATCCACCCCCACTTTGCCCCCAGAATCCCACTTGTCTGGAGTGCCTGTCTGGCTGGGCGTCTGGACTTCTCTAAGCTCTGACTTGACCTCTGTATCTTTCTTTTCTAGACCCCTCCTCTCTCCATCATACTTTCCATGAGTGAATAGTATGCTGGCTCCCACTAGGATTATGTTTTCATTCCTCCCACTCTCTGCTGTCTACACACAGGGAATGGAGCCAGAAATGCAGACATGCTCCTTCTGCAACTGCAGTCTCAGAAACAGCTGATGGGGTAATGGGAGCCATGGATGCCCTGAGGTCAGGAAACGTGTTTTAAGTCCCAGCTTCATCATATGTCAAAAATGACCAGGAGCAACAAGTTGTGGGTAAAGGAAACCCACTTCTACTTCCTGGGATTCTGACAATTCATAACCTTCATGGAAAAATGAACACAGTGCTTGGCACACCGAAGGAACGGATAGTGTCGTGCTTCCCCCAATCTTCCTCCCTAAACAACTTTATGGTGTTTCAGATAAAATGATTGAACCTTTTATTTTATTTTATTATTTTTGTTTGTTTGTTTTTCGAGACAGGGTTTCTCTGTGGCTTTGGAGGCTGTCCTGGAACTCACTCTGTAGACCAGGCTGGCCTCGAACTCACAGAGATCCACCTGCCTCTGCCTCCCGAGTGCTGGGATTAAAGGCGTGCGCCACCAACCCCCGGCTGATTGAACCTTTTATAACTATTATACTAACAGAAACCTCCCTTCACCTTTAGGATCTTTTTAAATGCTTTTCCTAACACCCTCACAGAGCTCCAATTACTCAATACCCCCAGAAAGCTGCCTTCTTTTCCTGTTTTTGAGGACAGTGCATACATTGTCTGTGATACCTACCCTGCTGATGTTCTAAACATAAATCCTGTGCACATTACTTAATGAACTCACTTAGCCCATCTGACACTACATTGCAGGAGCAGTAGGGACTGGCCACCATCAGAACCAGGGCTGTTGCTAAGAGCCCATCTTCAATGAGAATACTCTTTGGGAAATATAAACTCAAAATTCAAAATGCAGTAATGGAAGAAAATGAAGTATTTTTATTGTTACACCATTCCCATGAAAAATTTCCTAAGACTCATTCAAATATTTTTACAAAGGATCAGTTTAAACAAAATGGTAACATTTTCCATAGTTGGTTTTTTTTTAATTAACACAACTAATCCTTTGTTGTGCAGTGCAATCATGCGATGTTAGTATAGACAATTTTTTTTGCCTCAAAATGCAGTAATGCCTACTAAGCGTTGGGATAAAGGAATGAGCAACACAAGCTCTTGGGAGATTTTGCATCCCAGAGGGGAGCCAAACCATAAGTAAATACATAACGTGTGAGCAGCAGCCAACACTGAGGTTTCCAGAATGCCGGACTGATTTTCACTTCAAACAAGGCTGTTGCAGAGCAGGGCCGCAGACGGTGGGTAATGGCACACATGCGCCGGCCTGGGACACGGAGCCACCCGCAGGAGAAGAGAGGCAACAAGCAGCGAGGGCTCTGGGTGTGAGGACCAGAAGGGAGGTTTCCGGGGGCCGAAGAGAACACAGCAAAGGAAAGAGCACACGAGAGAGACGGAAGCCAACACGTTTATTAAAAGGCCAGATCGGAATTCTGAGTAGTGTTGACTGCACAGACGGTAGCTGTGGACCCCTCGGCAGCCATTCTGGTTTGAAAGAATGATGTCAGCACGTGTGCTGAGAACGCAGCATGCGCTACAGTGACCCTGGGTAAAGGCATGAGCGTGGAGGACTCTACAGGATGGTCCAATAAGGAGACGGCCTGTGATGGAAGTGATGGGGATACTGGAGAGCGACCAATTGCAATACATACAGAAGGGTTTCTCTGTGTAGCCCTGGCTGTCCTGCAATACGTACGGGAAAGACAGAGCTCAGGGTCCACCAGGCAAGGAAGAACAGGGGAAAGCCACAACTGACACGTCTTCCGCATTCCCTCTGGATCCCCAACACCCTCGGGCACATTACTACCTTCTCCTACAGGCGATGATCTAAATTTCCCCATCAGCACCTAATACCTAGCACCCCAGTGCCCATGGAAGCAGCAGTGCTAAGCGAGGGGTGAAAGGAATTGGGGGTCCTACTTGAATAGGCACTCAAGAAAGTAAGTAGGGGAACAAATGAAGAAGCCAGCATGCAAAGGCCTCTGGAAGATTGCTCCAAGAGAGATCAGAGCAAAGGGAAAACACCAAATGTTTTCATTCAAGAAACTGTAACCATAGTTACACAAACAGCAATGTGTTCTAACAGGAGGCTCTAACTACCAAAAAAAATTAATCAAATCAGAATACTGAATCAGAGTTCTGAGAAGATAGAAGTATGAAGTTTATTAAGCTAAAACCTTTTTGGATGCATTTAAAAAAAAATGTTCCTAAAGCAACACAACTGATAGGGGTGAGTTTCTTTTCCCCAAGGCAGAGTTTCTCTGTGGATCCCTGGCTGCCCTGGAACTCACTCTGTAGACCAGGCTGGCCTTGAACTCACAGGGACCCACCTGCTTCTGCCTCCCGAGTGCTGGGATTAAAGGTGTGCACCACCAGGCTTTTACAATTTAAATTATTTTTTTAAGGAAAATACATCAAAATCACTCTTGTCTATGTACTTAAAGGTCCTGTAATCACATGCTTAAGCTTATTGTCACTAGGTATCTTAACATTCTGTTTAAATGGCTTGAGACGATCGAATGCTTTAGATTAGCTTTCACTGGTACCCAGGGCGTAAACAGCAATGGAATCATTAACGAATACAGGCGTGGTCGTATCAGTGATTTTTCTTTTACCTTTCCTCCTGCTCACCTGAAAAGGTCTCCAAATTTACTTCTGAGGTGGCTGCATGACACATAGAGGTCATAGAGGTAGGCCAGGATACATCTTTCCGGGGAGGAGCACTCCGAGGGATTGACAACATGCTTCACCACACCACACAACCTGAGGACAGAGACACGGGGATTTAAAAAGAGGCACATGTCTTGTTAGTATGTACGTAACTCTTTAAAGTGAGAATGTGTCTAGTCTACCTACTACTTGGAGATACTTATCAGACAAAAAAAAAAAAAAAAAAAGAAAACTGATTGCTCATAAAAATATGAGATTATTAAAGGTCAGTTTGGTTATGCTGAGTACTAGACAGGCCTTAAAACAAAAACCATCAGAACCCTCACTGACAGTGAGAAATGAAAGCAATGACAGGACTTCCCCAGCACTGCGACGCGGCCCACCATATGCAGGCCTACTAGGAACAGGAACTCTCTTAGCATTTAGAGATGGGTACTAGGAGAACCGAAGGAACGACAACGCCGTGTCCCAGCTGGTCAGAAGGGGTGTCACCAGATGGGGTCATTTGGTGATTATAAAAGAGGGCAACGGGTGTTAAGAGTCGCACGGTTTAGGAGAGAAGCAAAGGGTTTAACCTGGTGATTATACAGAAGCAGACAAATCCCAACATGATGCGGAGAGTAGAGAATGACCCTGTGACTAAAGTAAACAAGCGCGGCCGATGGCTGCCTTCACCTTGTAGCGGGGTTTTCACGTGCCAGGAATAAAAGCTGTGATCTGATGGTCTCAGTCATCTTAAGGGGGAAGGTTATTATCTTAGCAAAAAGGATGCCCTACTATGCGCCATAGTTAGAGTCAGCTGTTGACCTGACACAACCCTGCGTCACTTGGCAACGACCTGGGGGACACTGGCTTAATTTCAAATTCACATAGGAAGCTCCAGTTCCTGAAGCCTGGGCCATCTCTAGGTCCTGGGCTGTATAGGAAGAGTAGTTGGGTAAGTCAAGGAAGTAAGTCAAGGAAGTAAGTCAAGGAAGCAAGTCAAGGAAGCAAGTCAAGGAAGCAAGTCAAGGAAGCAAGCCAGCAAACAGCACAGTTCCTGGACCCTGGGTCCCTCCATGAGCGCCCACCGTGGCCTGCCTCCATGATGTGTTTGTGACCTAAGAGCAAATGAATCCTTTCCCTCAGCTAGATTTTGGTCATGGTGTTCAACACAGCAACAAAAAAGCAAATTAGGGCATTATTCATAAGGCAAAGATATAACAAAGTCAATCCAAATAGGATTGTTACGAATATTTAGTAAGATACGTTAGACGTCAAAATAAATATTGAAACAATTTTGAGCTAACACTATAAGAACAACCAATCAAAAAAATACTTCTCCTAACTCAGTGTGAGTTCGTGACCAATGAATGAGTTGTTGAATGAATTATTTTAAAATTGAATGAATGAATGGTTTTAAAAGAATACAATTGATAGAACAATAATGAATCAACTTCCAGTTAAGAATACTAGTGAATATTTACAAGATTTATTAGTTGTGTGATGTTGGGCACATCACTTCCAAACTCTGCCCCTGTTAAATTATACAAAAAAAGTGTACCCTATAAATACGCATAAAGTTTCTGAGATTTTGGGCTGTAGAGATGGCTCAGCCATTAAAAGGCTATTATACTCACAACCAAAAGTTCCTGAGATTTTAAATCTTCTACTTCTTAAATTAGATATATTATTAATATAATTTTTTTATTTTCTAAGTAAAGCCTCTGTAAAATTGATGCCACTCAAGAAATGCTTGTTTATAAATTAAATGCATGTGCTAGGTTGCAGAGAAAAAAACAAATACACAAATGAAGAAATGGGAGGGAAAAAAAAGAATAGGTTGCCTTTTCTTATAAAGGGGGTCCAGAAGAGCTGGTGGGGAGAAGGCAACAAGGCGTTTGCACAGGTTGTAGAAGCTCCTCAAATATCTTTGGTCTTTTAAAACTCAAGTCTCCTGCAGACACAATGGGCAATTCCTCAGCCCAGCTTCACAGGCGACAGTAGAATGAACCCTTGTCTATTAGACACGAGCAGGGGCCTTTCATTCATTAGAAAGACCACGACCACGTTTCTGCAGTGCAAATGTGTTTTGCAAAGCTTGCTTGGTGTCTGGTTCTTCAAACACAAGCCCGAAAACAGATGAACAGTTACAGGAAAACAGATGAACAGTTATGGGAAAACAGATAAGCAGTTGTGGTGCTCCCAGTTCTCAGTAAGCAAGGCTGCTGTGCAGCATAGAGGAGAGGGTTGTGAGCGACCAGGAGACAGAGAGGGTATCAGAAAACAAGGCAGCCTGATATCACCCGTACTTCCTGGACTTGTAGCCCCTTCTTCAGGAAATAGTTGTGGTGAAACTATTCTTAGATAGCTTTTCATTGAATGGCCAATGAGATGGTTAAAATGTCAAAAAAAAAATAAGTTGTTTAACTTGGTTTTTTTTTTGTGGGATTCCTAACCATGGGAGTGGGGAGGTGTCTTTGACTCTTTTGCCTGATCATGGGACCCTTTTCCTCCTTCCGGGATGCCTCCTATAGCCTTAAAATGAGGGTATGTGTCTGGACTTCATGCATCCTGTCATGCCATGTCCAGATGACATCCCTGGGAGCCCTGCTCTTCCCTGAAAGGAAATGGAGGAACAGAGGATGTGGGGGAGAGAGGGTGTGGGAGATGATGAGGAGAAGGGGAGGGAACAGAGACGGAGAGCAGGATATACTGCATGCGAGAAGAATAAAGAAAAAGAAAAAAAGGAGAAAAAAAAAACACCTTCAAACCAATAGTCTAAAACCAAAATAATAATAATAATAACTTCTTACAACTCAGTACCATCTTTCTGTATTTGACTATGAATTCTACCTCTCAGGATTAGGGAAAAGAAATGCCACTTATGTACCCACCCTTCAAACACCTGGGCCGTCTGATCAGGGTTCAGAATCAGGCAACTGTGATACCGCCTGAGAACAGCCACGATGCAGACACACAGTCCTGTGGTGTAACTTCCGGCCAGGCTAGATGACTTCAGGAGCAGCTCAGCCTCCACCACGCTGAGCTCATTCAGTAACTGCAACAGGGGAGGCAGGCAGAGACAGGCAGGGGACCAGAGACAGGCAGGTGAGAAAACAACAGGAGGACGCTTCAGTGAGCCACCAACCGACCCCCTCTGCACACAGCTTCAGTGAGCCACCAACCGACCCCCTCTGCACACAGCTTCAGTGAGCCACCAACCCACCCCCTCTGCACACAGCTTCGGAAAACGAGCTAGTTTCGCCATGGTTTACTTTTAAGCCTTTCCTAACTTAAACAAACCCTCTTCTGTCTAGCCGCTCCTTTGTATACAACCAGGATGTAAACAGTGCTGAAATGGTTACCAAAACTTTCTAATAGCCCTAAATCCTGGACTGGGTCATTCTAAAGAACTGACAGATTCTTTTCCTTCCTCTTTTTTTTTTTCTTTCGTTTTGCTCTTGTTTGCTGGCTTTTGTTCTTGCCTCTTTCCTTCTGAATGCAATGCAAGTGGTAACTACTTTCTAATTTATAAAGCTAGGAGCTACTATATAATAAAAAAAAAAGCCTAATGTTTGTTCATTAACGCAAGGAGTAAATGAACTAAAGCGTGCATAACTACAGCGGGACAAATGAAATTCTAAAGACTATTCTAGAAGCCACTTTTGGCTTTTCGCTAAGAAATTCTACTGCGGAGAAAATAGCATCTCATCATTCCCCATACGAAATAATAAGGCTGCAAAAAAACAAAACAACAGAAACAAAAACCCCTGAAGTCAATGTAGTTCTGAACCACAGGTGTATTCCCAGCACCAATTATAACCTAACAGGAAAACCATTGACTCAGAATGGCTCCAACACTTCAAGGTACACTAGGTGCTTAAAATAGTTTTCACACAAAGAAAGTGGTGCATGTTCGAAGACATGACATGGTTCCAAGAGGACCAGGAAAGCTGGGGCAGAGAAGGGATTGGGAAAGGTTAATCAATGCCCACTAAGCTCAGTGAGATAGGAGCAAGATTGTCTTGTGTTGTAACGAAATTAGGGGAAAGGTACTTGACAGTTTCTACCATCAAGACATGGCATCTGAGGGCACAGGTATGCTTGAATTGCTACAAAGAATATACTAACACAGACATGTTTAGAAGCATTGTATGGTACCCCAGAAACCTACAAATCTTTTTTTACACATTTATGCAAGATAGAAAATGAATTTGAGGAGCTTGATAGGTGACTCTGTAGTTAAGAATACTGTCTGCTCTTTCAGAGGACCCAGGCTTGGTACCCAGCACCCACGTGGGGCTTGATAGGTGACTCTGTGGTGAAGAACACTGTCTGCTCTTTTGGAGGACCCAGGCTCGGTACCCAGCACCCATGTGGGGTCTCACAAGTATCTGTAATCCCACATCCAGTAGAACTAACAACCTCTTCTGAACTCCAAAGGCACCAGGCACACACACCGTACACCCATGTGTGCAGGCAAGAGGACATCCACCCACAGAAAATAAAACGACTCTTAAAAAAATACATAAATGCCAGCCAGGTGCTCAGGGGATGAGTGGGGAGGTCACTTCAGCTGGAGGCGTCAGACCAGCTGATCACTAGAGGGACAACCCTGGTCTTTAAAGCCAACACATAAAAAAATTTTTTTTAAAGAAACAAGGGAAGCTCTTCGACATTTGGGAGGTTTGCTCCCCTAAAGATGAGGAAGACGCGGTCTCTTTCCGACACCTGTATCGCAAAGTCAATCAGTCCATTGATGTTCAGCGCGGGCTCCATGAGATCAAAGATGAGTTGGATGTGGTGGGCCAGTGGGAGGTGATAGGATGTCCCCGATGCAAAGCTGGTAATCTGCTCCAGCACGTTGTTAGAGATCTGCCAGACAACAAATGCAAGGAGGGGGAAAAATCACATAACCGCTCAGACAAAAGCAAGGACAGAAAAATCACACAACCAACGGTCTGGGTGACGCTCCTGGTTAGATACGGGACTCTGATTTTTTTTTAAGTAACGCAGGAGAATTCACGGGTTCTACTTAGAGGTCAGAATGTGCGTGCACAGAAGCCGAAACATATACCAGTCAGCATTCTTATCATCATAATTTGAAACACAAGACAAACTGCAGTATAATCTGTATACTGGTGACCCCAAGGGGGGAGCACCCAGAAGGGTTAATGACAGACACTGGAATGCGTTAACTGAAGAACAATGGCTTTTTTTCCCCTCAATTTCACGGTATTTTAATTAAATCATCAACAGGCTTCTCCGTCGCCAACAGTGGACATTGGGGCTGCGTGCCATCAGATAAATACATCAGGAATTACTTTTGCATATTGCTGATTATTATGGAGTAAAAGCACTTACATGTAAAAACGTGTTGGGGGAGACAACCTGACACTTGAAAATGAAGCTTGAGATGCTTCCAGGTCTATAAGGTGCATTTATAAAAATTAAGGTCCCAAGCACACTGCTTGAGACTTTTAAGGAGGTAGAAATATTCAAAACGCGTGACAAAATGGCCTTGAGTGACTACCTGAGACGTCACTTGATGCTGATCGAAGTACGAGAGGAGCTGGAGCTTCGTGAACACAGTTTCCGGGGTTGGAAAAGCTTCCTGCTTGTTCTTCCTGGGTTTCTGCCCTTCGTCCCCAACTAAACAGACATAAAATGTGTTACTTTCCATTTAAGTCAAGCTCTTCATGGTTTTAAAGACACTGTTTTCTGGTGTGTGTGTGTGTGTGTGTGCGCGTACACGCGTGTTCACATATTATTACGCACATGTAGGGAGGCAGGAGGAAAACATTTGGTGTCATCCCTCAGATGATATCACCATCTTATTTTACTTAGTGACGGCTCTCTTACTGGCTGAAACTCGCCACGTAGGCTAGACTGGCTGGCTAAGGAGCAGAGGGGGTCTGCCTATATCCAGTCACCCCCCCCCCATGCAATGGAAGTAGCAGCATGGTCCATCATGCCCAGCTATTTTTAATGTGTGTCCTGGCACTTTACTGAGTCAACTCCCCTGCCCCGGCTTTCTATGTTACTTTTTATTGAGGTATAGCATACACAGAAGAAAGCATATATACTCTGTACTTCTACAGGAACGAGATCCAAATCAGGAAATAAGGCCTCAGAAGCCCACCTATTCCACTCCAAACCACCTTTCCTCCCCCCAGGGGACAAAGACGTGGACATCTTCCATCTTGGGTGGGTTCAAACTTTCACTCAACATTATGGTCTAAGATTGGTTCGTTGTGGAAATAATTTTAATGTGTTCTAAAATTTAGTAATTCTCACATACGTTCTTCCAATATACAAGTACGTGGCATATTTATCAGTTAAAGTAAATAATGACTAGATTGTGGCTATCATAAACTACCTTTATGAACATCGATCATTAACTGACTTTAAAAAATACAAAAGCAACAATAAATGACCTTGGGTGAGCCCCAAGGCCCACTATGACTAAACAGGCTATATCTTAGGCTTTAAAAATTATCTGTTATTTATTGACTGTGTGCTCATTTGCAGCCACCATGGAGCATGTAGATAAGCCAGAAGAAAATATATAGAAACTGTCTCCTCCAGAAATTATATTCAGGTCACGAGACTTGGTGACAGGTTCCTTTGTTCACTGAGCTGTTTTTCTAAATCAATTAAATGTATGTGCATATTTATTTATAAAGAAATTTACACAACCTTGCTTATTTGGGGGGGGGGAACTCTTGATTTCTTCAAGCTAAGAACAAAACCCAAAAAAATACAATAAAGTATCTAGAAACAGGATTGCCGTCTACGGATTTACAGAGACAACTGTGGAAACTGCAAAGTAACGGTTGTCCCACAGGATGCTCAGCACTGTGTGCTACATGGTCAACAGCTTCTCAGAAGGAGCTCTGGGCCTCATCTCATCTGGGACACATTAGTTCAGACAGCTCATGGCTCTCATTTCTCTACCGAAAGCGCAAGAAGTCAGCAATGTTCCACGCTATCCCACAAAGTACTTTGGCCAGTGGCAAATGCCATGCTTTAGGAAATGACATAAAAAAAAATTGACTCCACTTTGAACAGCAAGCCAAGTACAAAAACAAACCAAGTTTTCATGTTTCAATTTGACACAACTGACAGTGATACCAGAATAAATAAATCAGTAAGATGCGCCGGCACTGCGCGAGGGAGAGGGCTTAGTCAGAGGACTGCTTGCTCTGCAAGTGTGAGGCTCCGAGCACAGATTCCAGAACCCAGGCTTAAAAATAAATGCTAAGAGTCGTGACACCTTCCTGTAGTCACGGCACTGGAAGGCAGACATAGGACAGCTAGTGCACATTGGTTGTTGAGTTACAAGCCAGTAAGAGACCGTGTCTCACAACAGACAAACAGTGGAGGGTGCCAGAAGACTGGTTTCTGACCTTCACACACCACACTCATGGGCACATACGAGAAAGCAGTGATAAAAGTCCACTTCCGTCAAATGAGACCCAGTACCATACAAACAAGAACTAGCAAATTAATTAAACTTCCTTCTCTTTCAGAATCTGTCCTCATAAGCACAAAGCAAACACGGGACGAGGCCTTTTCCCTAGCTCTTCTCACACATGTCATAAGTATATCTGAGATATCCAAGTTTTGTTTTTTGTGTTTTTTTCGAGACAGGGTTTCTCTGTATTGCTTTGGAGGCTGTCCTGGAACTCGCACTGTAGACCAGGCTGGCCTTGAACTCACAGAGATCCGCCTGCCTCTGCCTCCCATGAGCTGGGATTAAAGGTGTGCACCATCAACGCCCAGTGAGATATCCAAGTTTTGATTTAGTTGTCAGTTCCCTAGTATCATTCAAAACCGGAGAAAGACTGGATCTATCGTCTTGTGTATGAAATGCTTGAAATCATGAAGTGGACGCATTAATCCAGTCTTCCTAACAAAAAAACAAACACAAAAAGACCCGAAGAATTAGGCCTTGCTACGAATTCTCTGGCTCATTTGTGCAAACGGGCTCCACTGCTGACAAGTGCAATGTCCCAAGAGCTCAACTGAAAAGATACATTTGAGTCTTGCAATTTAGAAAGAATACTGGTAATTAGTGGTAGTTCCAAATAAAAGATCCCAATGTCATTTGCATGAGTTACAACATGCTTGTAATATAGAAAGGCTTTTCATGCCTATTTTCTTATTTTCATGACATACATTATTCTTCTACTCCTTAATTTTTACATTACATTTTAAATTCAGGCAATGTTATGGTAGACTTGACATGAAATCTAGGTGGCTAACTGGAAATGAGGTAGCTCAGTTGGCAGAATGCTCGCTTAGCGGGCACACAGGCTGGCTTCAGTCCCTGGCATCACATACACGGGGCAGGGCTGTGTCAGCCTGCAATGCTAGCATGTGAGAGACAGAAGCAAGGGATCAGCAGAAGTCCTGGGTAATCTCTCCCACATTCCAGCCTGCCTGGACGGCAGAAGACCCTATCTGAAAAGACAAGTCATAAATAACAACAAAAGACTTCATGCTACAAATCCCCAAAGGGAAGCATGGCTGGTTCCCCAAATGTCTTCAGGTGTACCTCAAAAATCTAAGTTTTGTTTTCCCAAAAACAAGATACATGCTAGTCTATGAGTAAGGTAGGTGTGTATGTGTGTGTGTGTGTGTGTGTGTGTGTGTGTGTGTGTGTAAGGACAAATTTCCATTAGCCTCAAGTACAGTTGGCTAACTTCTGAAATATCAACAAAGTCTTAAATAACTTAAAATGAAGACTGCTTGCCAGATGCACAACACCGCATCTGAAATTAATACCACTAAAATAGAGGAAAGGAAAAGCAAAATCCCCTCTGGAGACGCCACTTTGAAATGGCGTTCATGCGACGGATATTTTTAAGTGCTGAACAGTAAAATGTCTCTTTTTTTGTTAGTCCATATGCAAGGAATGTCTACTTAAGGGTTTGGTACAAAGACAGGACAGACGGCAGTCTGGCATGAAAACAGTACTCTGAAGGAAGGAAGTAGGGTCAACAGAAAAGACACCACACCGCCCCCCCCTCCCACCTCCTTTGGTCTTTCTAAACCAGAGATTCCAGAGCTGTCTGCAAAGGGCCCTCGCCACTCACTGGGTAAACCAAGCATGACTGCGCTTCTCGCAGGCATCAGCACCTTTTACCCCCACCCCAACTGCACCAAGAGCTGGCTGGAAAGTCCTTCCTAGCTAGCGGCAAGGCTTCTAAATTCAATCTTCTGATGCAACTCATTTCCCCTTTTTCTCTGCGAGAGGGAACACAGTAAGACCGATAAACAGTTTTCTTAGACGGAGCAGTCTCTGTTCAAGGGCTGTAAGAAGCCAACAAAAGACAGCTTCCTTCCCCTCTCCTGGCTCTAGGTCATTTGTCATTAAGCTGGTGTCTCTGAAGGCCCCGAAACCACGAGGCAGAGGAGCTAGGGCACACACATGTGTGGAGCTCACACATGAGGGCCTCAGACACTCCCTCAGACGCTGGCGCCCCAGAAAACAGGCTGAAACACAGACAAGGGGTCCTGCTGTGATCAAGCAGGTACAATCCACACTGACGACACGTTCAATTATTTCCACTTTCCGGAAAAAGTCTAGAGCACATAAGCAAGCCCTAGTAGTGTATCCTGCTAAAGTCATAAAACAAAACAAACAAACAAAAAACGGGAAGGGTTCCCAGCTCTGCACGGGGCAAAGGCATCCCCCCCCCTTTCTGTTACCACACTGTTAGAGAGGGAAAGATGCGTGGCGGTGCCATGTTTTAAACCGTGACTATAAAATGGCATGAACCTCAAGAAGAGTAACTAGCAAATATGAAGTAGCTGGTGACGTGACTCCAGTTATGCAGTCTGGATGGCCCAATGCCAGGCAAAGCTCTGGAGGAACAGAAACGGCATGAGAAGAACAGGCAAAGAAAAAATTCCAATCAAACTGCCTCTTTCACCTGGAATTCTCTGGTGGCAGACTTAGCCTCGACCACCGGTCTCCATTATCCTTCGAATAACATGAAGTCATCAACTAGAGACCACCGTGCGCATCTCATGCGAAGCATGAGATAACGGAGAGAAAGGAAAAAAAAAAAAAAGCAAACCACACGCCTGTAAAACGAGGCGAGGGGAAAGCGAACCGGCTGTTCGCAGGCAGGCGGGGTGTTTGATCTCATTACTCGGTGCATCGTCCACAGCGGTGACCGCGGAAGACGCGGCACGCGGATGGAGAAGCACAGAACTGGACTGTGTCTGCCCACAGGGGGCGGCTAATGGACCCCGAGACTGCAACAAGGCAACGCAGGGCCTTCGGATGTAAATGTGCCTATTCATATTTCAGGGTGACAGTCATCCCGGAGAGGAAGCCCTGGTGACGTGGCCCACTTTGATAAAGCCCGTGAGGACGTGAGGGAGGACGGAGGACGCAAAGCCAGTGCAGTGGGAGCCGGGGCCCGCGGCTCCTTACCCCCTGGCTCCGTGATGCTCTTCTTGTTCAGGATCCTCAGGATGTCCTTGGTAATCTTCTTCAGCTGATGCCTGGCTTCCTCACGCTCTTTTCCGACTCCGTAGAGAAGGATCGTGCGCTGGTTACATTCATGACTTGAAGACTCATCCTGAAAAACAGCAAATGCCTCTGAAACCGGTGTGCAGGGCTGGGGGCGCCTCCTATACTCCAGAAACACACTAATCACAGCCTCTCCATGCCCACTGGCGGGTGGGGCATCTGTCTGCTCCTCGACACACCTCAACCTCCAACGGCGTCACCCTGCTCTTCCAGTTTGGAGCATGCTAGAGCAAAAAATAATAAAGTGGCAGCTGACCTGAAGCACTTGATGTGGGCGGACCCTGCAGAGTAAGTTCTGGCGACTGAAAGACTTTTCCTTGTCTAAATGTGAACATGGCATGGAACATGATACTGTTTCCTTAAGGGAGATAGCATTCCCTTAGCGAGACATGCAGCAATAGTGCGTGTTTTTTATGTTTAGGACAAAAGTCTTGCTAGGACCTTCAGGAACCTTCAGAAAAGGACACTACGCTTACTTCAATGTGACTGTATAAGGTATATTAGTATTTTTTTTCCAGATGACAAAAAAGGAACTCGTAAGAATCACTAGGTGCAAGCTAGGTAGCTAGAAATACATAATCTGAGACGCTCGCTGTCCTCTTCCGTTTCAGATACCTGACTCCTCAAGTGATCATGGTAAATCCAAGCACAACCTTTTCCCTTGCGAGAAAAGAAATTACCGAGTCACTAAGTAATGAATATGAGTTTAGCATTGAGCTGGATTGACCCTTAGCCAAATATAACCGGCTGGCTCAGACTTTTCAGTGCAAATTTCTCCTTGACACCTTTTGCTTTCCATTTTCTACGTAAAGCTATTCCCTTTCAGTTGGACCTTTCAACATATTATCTACCCGCTGTTGTACTCTTTGTACAACACTGTCCACGCTGAGGCATCCTCTTCCTACTCGCCTCTTATCCTAAAGAACTCCTCCCAGGGGAAACAGATCGCATATGGTTATCGTCAGCATCAGTCAGACCCTCCAGATGTGGGAACTGCAGTGTTAGCACGGAGTTCTGTGTGTCCTCTGCACACAGTAACAGTAACTGATACCGGCTTCTGCCGTCGGTGAGCAAGTGCCCGGTTCACTCTCCGACTCCGTCTTTACACACTTGCCCTCAGGCTACAATTCAGTTCCACTGTGCCAGAAAGAACGCACGTTTGCATTTCCTGTTGACTTATCTTTCTATATCCCTCTGCTAATTCTTCTAGCTTGCTTGTTTGTTTGTTTACTATAGGGCCTGATTGATGCACCCCAGGTTGGCCTCAAACTCATCATGTAGCTGACAACCCTGAACTCCTGATCTTTTTGCCTCCACTTCCCAAGAGTGGGGGGGATTGTCCCTCTGCTAATTCTTAATGTTCCAAGTGTCCGAATAGACCTAAAGATGCCCAAACAGGGATGGCGAAAAATAAAATACCCACCTACTAATAACAACTCACGACAGCCACAGCCCCGTAGTATACCATGCTTAGCACTGAGAGAACTTGTGTCCTCGTCATGACACTCAACAGCTCCATAATCCTGGGCAACAAACCTAGTTCCTAGTCTCAGACTCTTCTTCTGAAGAATAGGGTAATGCCAACTTCTATTTTAGGCCTTGTGAGAATAATGAAGACATACACACATGCAATGCCCGTGTGTGTGTGTGTGTGTGTGTGTGTGTGTGTGTGTGTGTGTGTGTATGCTCACTGCTCACATTCTAGATCCCCGCTCCTGCAAACACACCCTGAGCCCACACTGTACTGCATTAATCAACAGTTTCCACAGACCTGCTGAAGCTCTCCCTGCCATCTAAAATGCACGACCTCAATGGCTGACATCCGCCTACAGGTAGGGTGTTAGGACCCCAGGGACTAGGAAGGGGAAGAAGCACTGGAACATTCATTCATCAGACACAAATCATTTATTTTCTAGGTTACTGCTTTCTAATGGCTGTCTTCCCAAGTCCACCATAATTCTCCTTAGTAAGCCCAAGTTGGCCCTCAATGCTTGGCGAGCTCGCCAAGCAAACAGGAAGTCAGTAGAATAAGGAACAAAGATGGGTAAAGGAAAGACTGGGGGAAGGAAAGCAGACAGAATCATGGTCTGTAGGAAACAGTTGGCTGTTAAAGTCGCGAGGGAGGCTGAAGTGAGAGACCAGTAAAAAGCTCATGTCTGCCTGGCGAGCTAAGTCTGGGCTGTGGGGATGAGGAACAGGACGCAGAATCTCACAGGCGCCCGATGGAGAAAGGGCCCAGTCATCAGGGTCCAATCTGTGAACGTGCATCACAGACATCAGGGTCCAATCTGTGAATGTGCATCATGGTGGATTTCACAGAATCAATTTGGGAAAAAAAAATTGTTGCAGAGAAAACATGAAAGCATATGGGTAGCGTGTATTTGGTTTGATGTGGGCACTGATGTTGGTCAGGGTTGAGGCAGTAAGGAGAGCATTAAGTCCTAAGAGAGAGGTGCAAAATCCTCCACTATCTACTTAGATCTGTAGCTGAGACGGTGGGAACAGGAGCAAGCCATTATTATTATTATTATTATTATTATTATTATTATTATTATTATTATTATTATTATTATTGGTTTTACGAGACAGGGTTTCTCTGTATTGTTTTGGAGGCTGTCAGTCCAGCCCGGCCTCAAACTTACAGAGATCCGCCTGCCTCTGCCTCCCGAGTGCTGGGATTAAAGGCGTGCGCCACCACTGCCCGGCTGCAAGCCATTATTAAAGCGATGCACATCTCTGCTTTTTTACTAAGCTGCTGTAGCCATGCAAGGCTCAGAAACCAGGCTTGAGGACAGAATAGGGGCCATCAACCGACCAATGGTTCAGCGGAGACCAAATGGAGGCAAAGAGTCAGCGTAGATATCATGTCTGTATTTGTTTTGTTTTTACTAAAAACTCATGTGTGCCTCCGAAGAGAAGTTTCTCCAGAGTGGCTGTGAAGATAGCACAGCAGGAAACAATGGGTTGAAGAAAGAACTTCCATGAAAGGAGTGAGGGGCAGGAGGCCTCAGAGAAGTGACTCGTTTACTAGACGCTGAGCATAAAGAATGAGCTTAAGAAAGGAAACCTCGCCGGGCGTTGGTGGCACACGCCTTTAATCCCAGCACTCGGGAGGCAGAGGCAGGCAGATCTCTGTGAGTTCGAGGCCAGCCTGGTCTACAAGAGCTAGTTCCAGGACAGCCTCCAAAGCCACAGAGAAACCCTGTCTCGGAAAAAAAAAAAAAAAAAAAAAAGAAAGGAAACCTCACTTGAGTAATAAGCAGTAAACTCTTGTTTCAAAGTTATGGTACGAATAAAGAAGGCCTCAAAGGATCAAAACGCAGAGCGGATTATTGATGAGGGGTGGGAGACCATGGTCCAATGTCAAGATTATTATTATTTCCCAATGGTACTATATAAAGTGTGTGTGATGATGTTGTTTACTGACGGGGGGGGGTGATATTGATGTGACCAACTAATTATGCTGTATGGTAATACACAGTTTTAGGACGAGACACTTTCCACCTAAATACTTTAGTGACTTTCACGGTCAGGTGATCAAAGGGGAAATTGGCAGTTGACCCCAGTGAGAAAATGTGAGAAGGCTCAGAGAGAGGTGTTTGTGGTTGTCACTTAGGTCAAAGCTCTTTTTATCCTTCAAATCCTCACAGAATGTTTTAGGGTTTGAAAATTTATATTCTTAGTAGGAAAGTATACTATAGGACTCGTGAGTTGATTTTCTTTTAGTGTGGCATACTGATTCACTGAATATAATCTATATTTCTCCTCCAAAGACTTGTTTCAACAGAGATTTCAGAAGCACTATAAATGTCCCAGAGTTTAGATAGAATTGGGTATAAAGGCAAGGATAGTGCTTATTTGATAAAAGGCAGTTTAGCCGTTCTGTTCTCACTGGGCCCCAAGGAGGAAAGAGACCACAGAGATGGCATGGGAATAGTCTCAGGAGGCTCTGGGCCAGACAACATGGGCTGGGATGGTGTCTCCAATTAGCCTGACCGTTCTACTCAGTTTCCTTCATTCAAAACTGTTGATAAGATGAGTATTGGCTAATAAAGTAAAAGTAAGTTAATTCATGGTAGTATAAGAAATCAAATGTTGGCAATTATTATTTTGACGCATAAAGCTTTTTTTAAAAAGTGTTTCAGACACCCAAATCAGCAAGTAAGACCAGCTTAATTGGCTTTGTTTATATGAAGGTAAGAACAACCCACACAGACTTCTCAAACACTTGAAATAAAATCAATACTTCTTTCCAGAAGATGAAAATACTGCAGTTAGTATGCAACTGAATGTTTCAGGAGTGAGTGAGAATGAGAACTTGATTTCCAATTTTGGCGGCAATAAAAGTCCTGTGTCTATTTAATGCGGTGGCCCTCGGGGCCTCGGTGTGCCTGAGCATCACGTGGAAGGAGGTTAAGTACAAACGGGGTCTCTGGCCCTAGATGCACATTCGAAACAAAATGTCCAAGTGATGCTGAGCTGCCACCACACGCTTTCACCCCAAAAATCGATTTAACAAGTGTGCCCACACTCAAAATTCACAACAAGCAGAATACGTCTTCCTAGTAGGGATATCTACCCAAGGGATTCTACAGAAAGCCATTTCAATTGGAAATACTCTGCGTGTGTACAATGAATGCTGTTTGTTCCTCAAAAGGCAGGGCCAGAAACATTTAGATAAATTTATTCTACAATTTCACTCCAAGTGTATCTTGTGCCTTTTTTTTTAGTATACAAGTCAAAGAATTGCATATAATTGTGACACAAAGGTTATTTAATGTGGTATTACCATTACCTACAGACTCAATACTAAAAAAAATAATAATAACATTGTTAATTATTTAACTTCTATTCAGGACAACCATGAAGGCTCCTTCATGCAATCATCCTGGTAGTGGATACAACTGCTTTCTTTCCTAATATAATTTGGGAGTCTAATAATTTATAATGGGATGATGCTGTTTTGCCCACAAAGACGTTAATCCAACACAGATTTTAAGTAATGACATTATGAACTAGGATAAAACAAGAAGCAAAAGGCTTACCACCCCTGACGAAGCACACATTTTGAGATAATAGAGTTAGCTGTGAGACAATAACATATCATCCACTTTGAACACACTATGTTTTCAGGTGAATGGCTATCTGGAAAAGCAGGCTTGCACCCTTCTCCCGGAAACAGGTTTAGAAGACTTCATCTCAACTTTGCATGGAAAATCCCCGCCCCCACCCCACCCCCAACACACAAAAACTCTCCACCTTGCTGATTCTATTAAAGATTTTAGAAAGAAGCTACAGTATCTTAAATTGGCTTTAGAAAGATGACTTCTCAGCCACCTTTGCCCCGTTATTTCCCAAGAGCTAAAAGCAGAAGTCCTAAAAACAGATTCGGTGTCTGCGCCGCTTTGAATGGAAGGTAGTCTCTTACTGGGATGTTCTCCTTCCCTTCTCCATTTACTTCTCTCTAGAACACTCAAGAGTGCATTGCTGAGAACTCAGCAGACTCACTATCACAGAGGGCGTTGGCAACTAAACTGAGCGACGGGGGGAAACACCAGATGCCTGCCTGCAAGTTCCACTAACTGGTAACACTGAAGACACCCTCATCCTTCAGAGTCAACAGGATTACCAGGTAATGTGACATTACCACTTGACAGACTTATAATATGAAGTATATGCATATTTTCCAAGTTTGTTCTTAAAATCCAAAACCTTACATAGCAATTCATGAAGTCAGAAGCGTATAGTCTGCATAACATTAAGTTAATAAGAACCAAGACACAAGTCTTAGTGGTATGGGAGATTACATTCTTCAGTAAAAATATGCCAAGCATGGAGAGATGTTGATGTGTTGATTGTGAAATGAGAATTAAATGTAAACAAAGGGAATGGCATTTCCCAATGTTAAGGAAGTTGTTACCTAACTTACCTACTGTGCACAATGAGCACTCCTAAGACAGAATTGCTAGAACTATCGAGGAACATACAAACAAAATGAACTAGTGATTGCAAAGTGGGCTGAACTCAGTGGCTCTCCTTCACCTCTGAGGTGCTGAGAGCTGAGGTCATTCTCCTGGTGATATTCTTAACTGTGTAATTTTCAGTAACTAAAGGATTCCACTGACATTTGGGGGGGGGATCTGCTATCTTCATTTATCATGTTAGATCTTGTATGACAGTTATGTGTAGTTTTTAACCATATATGAATATGAGGAATTCTGCTTTATGAGAAATCATTATATTTGTTTGATAGAAATTTGAAAAGCTTTATATTCCATCTTAAATATATATATCACATCACATCCACGTCAGCTACCCCTCTTCCTTCAGCTGTCTGTTGTCTGATAGCCTAGGAAATCAAACGAGGACTAATTTCTGCTATCTTATTTTAGTTATCATTAAATATTCCATAAACCCAGGAACGATGCTCTGGCTGCTTGGGAAATGTCAAGTAAAGGTCATACACACACACACTCACACTCACACACACTCATACACACACTCACATTCACACACACACACACTCACACACACACTCACACTCACACACACAAAGGCTGCTGTTGCTGCCTTCTTCTCCTATTGTTACTGTTTTAGGATTCACACTGAATGATACTCAAAAAACATATACAAACTTCAAGCAAAAAGAACAACTTGAAAATGAGAAACGCACAGGCTAAATCCTCTAAAGTATGTAATGATTCTTCTTAGGCTAATATTTGATTGCACGGCTGACTGAGCACAGGCAGAAACAACACCCGATACACAGGAAACGTTTGTGGATTTTTATTCTCTACAATATACTACTTATTTTGTTGAATAAACTTCCCAATAATGACTTCATACCAAATTCTTTGATTGGTATTTCATTTGTAATTCTAACTCTTAATCAATCACGTCTCCATTGAATCTATTAGTGATAATAAAGTGTGAAACCAGGAATTTGGGGTCAGAAGAAAAGGGAGCTGTCAACAGAAACAAAGGGCTACAGGTTTCAGAGAAGAAGAGGGAGAACTAAACAAAGCATTACTAGCATATCTGACATGGGCTTCCTATATAAACAGAGGGCAGACACTAAGGGGAATTACAAACATCATCATCATCAACAACAACAAAAAACACAAGGCTCCCATCACGCAATGCAAATCACCTTAATTTGTTATAGATGGAATATTTGTTTAGAAGGGAATGTTCAGGGATTCAGTTTTCTATTAATTCCTACCAACTGCCACCATAAAGATAGGAAAACTCATGTTTTAAGCAAAGCTGTACTTCTGAAAGTTATATATTTCTATAACAAGCAAACCAGTGACCTGTGACTGAATGTGAGCACACTCCCTCTCTCTGCTCTAGGAGCTAGCACAATGGAGACGCCTGATGTGGACACCACCACGGCCAACGCCACCGTCACAGCTGGGAATGGCACCCTGTGCAGCAGAGACTACAAGATAACCCAGGTTCTCTTCCCGTTGCTCTACACTGTCCTGTTTTTTGTTGGACTCATCACAAACAGCTTGGCAATGAGAATTTTCTTTCAAATCCGAAGCAAATCCAACTTCATTATTTTCCTGAAGAACACGGTCATTTCTGATCTTCTCATGATCCTGACTTTTCCTTTCAAAATTCTTAGTGATGCCAAGCTGGGAGTCGGGCCTCTGAGGGCCTTGGTATGCCAAGTCACCTCGGTCACGTTCTATTTCACAATGTATATCAGTATATCATTCCTTGGATTGATAACCATTGACCGCTACCTGAAGACAACCAGGCCATTTAAAACCTCCAGCCCCAGAAATCTCCTGGGTGCGAAGGTTCTTTCTGTCGTCATCTGGGCCTTCATGTTCTTGCTCTCGCTGCCCAACATGATTCTCACCAACAGGAGGCCCAAAGACAAGAACATAAAAAAATGTTCTTTCCTGAAGTCAGAGTTTGGCCTGGTCTGGCATGAGATAGTCAATTACATCTGCCAAGTCATTTTCTGGATTAATTTCTTAATTATCATTGTCTGCTACAGTCTCATTGCAAAAGAGCTCTACAGGTCCTACGTAAGAACAAGAGGGGCAGGCAGAGTGCCCAAGAAAAGGGTGAACGTCAGAGTTTTCATCATCATTGCTGTGTTCTTCATCTGCTTCGTTCCCTTCCATTTTGCACGGGTCCCCTACACCCTGAGCCAAACCCGGGCTGTCTTCGACTGTGCCGCTGAAAACACTCTGTTCTATGTGAAGGAGAGCACCCTGTGGCTGACGTCCTTGAACGCCTGCCTCGACCCGTTCATCTACTTTTTCCTTTGCAAGTCTTTCAGGAACTCCCTGACACGCATGCTGAGGTGCTCCAGTGCTATGTCACCCTCTGGAGAAAACAAGAAGAAAGGACAGGAAGGTGGCGACCCAAGCGAGGAGACCCCAGTGTAAAGCGTGACCCCGAGGGGCTGCTTCAGTCTGCGGTGTTCAGACGCCTCCAAGAAAATCACCGCAGAAAAATACTAACACTCACTTAGGAGAAGCTGAACTAATGGGAAGCGATGTTTATCTACTGATCCTGTCTTCAGGAGTGCAGTAGGATAAACTGCATCCTATTGCTATACTACAGGGAAACCCGCAACCCATAAAGAATTAGTGGCTTACCCAGTTCCTGCAAAATGAGCGACCATGAAATGTAATCTCCACTGTCGTTTTAAAATCCATTACCATTCAGTATTATTTCTGCAATATGTGAAAACTTGCGTTTGCTCTGATACATTAAGCCCAGTAACTCCTGACCTCTCATTTAGAGCAACAAGGACAACAGCAAACCCACAAACACTTAAACCAAATGAAATGACATTGGGTGAGACCCGAATTATTATACATGGTAGAGGTTTCATCTATCTTCCCATAAAGAACGGATACAGTGAATAAAACCATTAACTTAAGGAGTGTAACTTTCATAGCATTCTAATATTTAAAAAAGTATATGACTACTTCCTTAACACTAGAGAAAGCAATTTCACTAAGATTCTGAGTTTACTCAGTATGGTGCCATCATTGGCACTTGTCTTATTATTAATCAGCTTTAGAAATGCCTGCTGCTTGAATAAAAAACAAACAAAAAACCCACTTCTTAGTAAGAAAAGAAATAACTATAATTATCAAATTGTTCCTCACATCGACCAATAGGAAAGTGGTTGAACTATATGACATTACTTGTTTGTAATCATGTGTATACTATAAAGAAATTACGTTTATTCTGTATTGCTTTGTTGGAATTTCTTTGTTCAAAAGTTTAGAAACAATGGCTCAATCTTCTCCTACACTAAACAGTAAATGCATTTAAGAACTGCGGGCTAACACAGCTTTATTACACACTACCCTTCGGTCTCCTCAGAAAAGTCATGTCATGATTTTAAGTCTTCATGTAATTACAAAGGAGGGGAAATGTGCAGTCAGATCTCACAGTTGCCATTTTTATTTTATTTTTATTAACAAGGAACTAGTGCATATTTAGTGGCTATGGTGTGACACTTTGACATACACATATAAGCAACAGCATCCCAATTGGGGTCATACTTGGTAGCTTTAAATACAAACACAATACCTAATGTGTGGAATCTTCTGTCTCAATCATTAGTGCTCCCTGGAGGTGCTGCTCTGGCAGAAGATGGTATAGACAATAGCATCTAAATATCAGGCAGAGTAAATGAAAAGAGTAGATTCTAACATAGACAAGGCTGTTGATCTTCAATAACGTCTTCCAAACTCCAGGACGACTTCTCAAGGTAAATTCTGGCACAAAGCTAAGGACATGTAACTAACTCTTCATGTGGCAACTGTTCCCAAGTGGCGGCACTTCCCACTCTGGCACTGCCACAGCGAGAACAAGACATAGAGGCAGTGAGAACTGTGCATGGGCGGGCTGGGCACACAACTCAGAGAGAGACAGAGAGAGCTCTCGCCTAGCAATGCATGGGACCCAGGGTCACTCCCCAGCCCTGTAATGAGCAAAGAGGAGGTGCATCCTATGCTACGGAGCGCAGGACACACAGCTGCTGTCGTCTCTGCCTCAGTACTTCAGTCTCCTGCCAGCACACCCGTTTTTGGTTTACGAGAACACCGCAATGTGGGCGACAGAGGAGGAGCTTGCCATCAACCATTGCTGTCAAACTTCACTTTGCATACGAGACGAATAAAGGGCAGCAGCATCGCCCAAACCATCCACGTGTAGGATAGGAAGCGTATGGAAACTCTTCACCGAGGTCCGGGAGTTGGGGGCGAACCTGAGGAGGGACTTGGGGGGGGGAAGGGGGGCGACTACCTGAACAATCCTCCTTTTGTGGCTCCCCTAATTCACTGTGATATTTTTCTACAAGAGACAGACAAATAGTGCTGATAGGATTATGACAACAACAACAACACAACAACAAAAAATGCAATGTGTTTGGAATTACCTGTGTCTTATACTTATGTAGATACAGAATGAAATTTCAGAGTAAGCCCTACATCACACTGTTGGGTTTCTGTACTGAAAGGTAATAGGTACTACAAACTCCTACATCAGCCTGAACCTATTCAAGACAGTCTGAGAGACAGTGGCTTATGCCTATGGTCACAACCTCAATGGGTAAAGTAGAGGGTTACTTCAAGTTCAAGAACAGCCTGGTCTATAAAGCCAGGTCCCCATCAGCCAGGGCAAAAAAAAAAAAAAAAAAGACCCTGTCTCAAAGCAAAAGGAACTCCCCCAAACCCACATTCTAAAATGTCAGCATTATCAAATGTCTATTCTGCACAGAACCCATCCCCAGCTGCAAACACTTTGACATATATATAAACACATCTCATGACGCCAACTAAGTTTTTAAGTGGAACCAAACTTGGTGTAAGTGAATAATTGAAGAGGTGAGGCAATCCACACACCCTGCTTACAGATCCCTGCTGACCACCTGTTTATGAGGGGCCTGTGGTCGAAAAGATGCTTCTCATATTTCAGGAATAAATTCTGTGTCACGTGGAATGTCTGGGAAACTAAAATTCCAGTGTCCACAGTGAGGCTTCCTAGCAGCACAGCCATACTGTGAAGTTGTATACCTAAGACTCCCACGCCACAACAACAGAGCTGGGCTGTGGGACAAGCTGTGTATCTAAGACTTCCACACCACAAAAACCGAGCTTGGCTGTGGAAGCTGTGTACCTAAGACTCTCAGGCCACAACAACAGAGCTGGGCTGTGGTAAGAAAGACCATTCAGCCTGAGTCACTTAAAATTTTGACCTTTAAATATAAATATATATATATATCCTTGGGGATCGGAGTGGAGATTGGGTTGGGGGTTGCGGGGCCTGGTGGGGGTGGTGGGGGAGAAGGGGAGGGAGAGAGAGCTGGTATTGACATGTGAAACAAGATTGTTTCTAACCTAAATACAAAAATAAATAAAACTAGTAACAGAAAAAATATGTAAAAAAAAAAAACTAAGAATCAACCTTGGTATGTGAGAAAGTTAATTAAAATATGCTAACTGGTCATATACATAATCTGCCAACCCTCGACTCACCACTTCTACAACAGAAATAAAACATCAAAGAGAGTTCTCTTACCACACATGCAGGTACTGTTGTGCCCACACTCGGGACCCCCAAAACCACCAAGAGACCATATCCGGTGCAAAAGCAAAGATTCTTTTTAATTTTGAGTTAACTTGGGTCCTCCATCTGCCCAACAGAGTGGGTGGGGTAGAGGGACCCCAAGCCGCGGTGGGACAGGGCGTATATTAGGGGCAGAGCAATGGGGGTGTCTGGGAGTCTGCTACCTGCATAGCAACAGTCTCAGGATGGGTGCACCACCAAGTGGGGGAACCTGTCCCGAGTTGATTGGTCAGCTGCAGCTGCGGAAAGGTTGCTATGTGTGGAGTCCATCCAAGGGCCATGACTACGTGCTGCATTCCACTGTTATCAGTAAAGCACATCCAAAGCCTGCCAGCCAACTTCTGATTGGTATCCTCCAGACACCATGGAGAGTATCTGGAAGTTTATTCCCAGTAATTAGGGCAAGGTTGGGCAAGGTTGCGGGGGGGGGGGGTGGGAGGCAGGGCTCAGCCCCTCCTGCTGAGTCAGGGGCCTACATCTTGCTGGGTCTTTTCTGCATCCTGTCATGGCTGCCAAAGCAGGGGGGTGGGAGAGGGTCTGGGCCCTTCAGCCTTCCACTGTTCGTGAGCAACGGCCACGGTGGAATTGGAGTCGCCAGTGGGAATAGAAGATGTGGAATACAATTGTAATCACACTCACTGAGAAATGGTCTACAGCTCTGGGAGAAGACTTCAGCTTTGCATGCGGCAGAGATGCCATACCGGACCTGAAGATGAGCTTGTCACCCAGACCCTTGGCTACTTAGGCCAGAAGACAAGAGAGAAAACAGAAAACAAAGGAACAAAACATCTATGCAACAAAGGCAAATGCAAGAATCATTACCTAGACATATAATCATCCGAAATCCAGATGCCTAAATATCAGGGGAAGTCAAGCTATCACTGCTATCAGAGAGTATAATAATAATATATATGAGTAATCTCCAAAATTCTACCATGGAGTTCCTACAGCTGATAAACATCTTCAGTGACGTGGATGGATAAAAGATTAACTCAAAAAAAAAAACAAACAAACAATGCAGTAGCCCTCCCATATAAAAATGATAAATGGGCTGAAGGATAAATCAGGGAAACAATACTCTATACAATAGCTACAAACAATATAAGATATTTTGGGGTAACTCTAACCAAACAGGTGAAATACCTGCATGACAAGAACTTAAAGTCTTTGAGGAAGGAAATTGGAGCAGATATCAGAAGATGGAAAGATCTCCCATACTCAAGGATCAGTAGGATTGACACAGTAAAAATGGTCATCCTACCAAAAGATTCAATGAAATCCTGATCAAAATCTCAACACAATTCTTAATAGACCTCAAAAGAACAATATTCAACTTCATATTGAAAAGCTAAACAGAACAAAAAAACAGAATAGCTAAGACCAACCCCACATCTGACAAAAGGGCTGAGTTCCAAAATAAATAAGAGCTCCAGAAAAAAATTTAAAAATGGGGTATAGATCTAAATAGAGAATTCTCAACAGAAGAATCTCCAATAGCTGAGACAAAAATTAAAGAAAATGCTCAACATCCTTAGTCCATCGGGGAATGCAAATCAGATTCCGTCCTGAACCAGTCAGAATGGTTTGTATTAAAAACACTACTGATAGCTTATGCTGGAGCGGATATGGAGCAAGGAAAACACTCCTCTATTCTGGTGAGAGTGCAAACTTGTAGAACCATTTTGGAAATCAACATGGTGGTTACTCAGAAAATTGGGAATCAAGCTACCCCAAGACTCAGCTATACCAATCCTGGGTATATACCCAAAGGGCGCTCAATCATGCCACAGGACACTTGCTCAACTATGTTCACAGCAGCATTATTTGTAGTAGCCAGAATCTGGAAACAACCTAGATGCCCCTCAACAGAAGAATGGATTTTTAAAAACGTGGTGTATTTGCACAATGGAATATTACTCAGCTGTTATAAACAATGATGTCATGAAACTTGCAGGCAAATGGATAGACTTAGAAAAAAATCTTCATGAGTGAGGTAACCCAGACCCAGAAAGACAAACATGGTATGGACTTACTCATAAGTGGGTATTAGCTATAGAGTAAAGGATAAGCGTGCTACAATCCACAGCTCCAGAGAAGCTAGGTAGCAAGGACAGGCCAAGGGTGGATGCATGTATTCCCTCGGGAAGGGGAAACAGAAGAAATCTCCTGGGTAGACTGGAGATTAGTAGGGAATATGAGAGAGCAGGTTAGGGGATGGATAGAGGGGAGAGTCTCGAAAGGGATGTCTTGCTGTGGGAGGGGTCAGTTAGAAATCCGGTACAAGAGAAACTCCCATCCCAGGTAATAGTCCGTACAACAGTGAATATGTAGTCTGAATTGCCCATTTCCTCTGATCAGATTGATGACTACCCCAAATGCCTTCATCCAGTAACTGATGGCAACAGATGCAGAGATGCACAGCCAAGTACTGGGCTGAGCTAGGGGAATCCTGCTGAAGAAAGGGAGGGAGGATTGTATGAGTCATCGAGATCAAGGTCATCACAAGAAAACCCACAGAAACAGCTAACCTGGGCTCACGGAGTCTGGAATGACAGTTAGGGAGTCTGCATAGGACTGACCTAGGGCCTCTGCATTTGTGTCACTGCTGCTGTCCACA